ACATATGTAAGCTTCAAGATCGCGCCCGCCTTGAGCTCCATGTCCTTGCTTTTCACCTCCTTCCTGATCTCGTCCATAGCCTGCGCGATGAACTTGGCCTCATCCTTCTTATTAGCGCGTAAGCCGCGGATGAGATCTTGAAGCGTACGCTCCCACATCCCGCTCTTCCCGTGGGCTTCAGAACGAGGAGTAACACCGATCGCAGGAAACTAGTAGTGAGTCGTGTACAGTGCAACTCCGAACCGGAACGGACAAGCTGGACAGAGATGCAAGCCGACACCCACATAAGCCGTTGGCCTCTTGCAGAGTCAGACGGAGGACCGATGACGGAAAGTGGCTGTGCTTGGCCTCCTCTCCAGAAATATCGGTGTTGACGGGTACCTCTTCTGAGACCTGATTGCTTGTTCTCACCGTACCTGGGGGACATGTCCATGCCACTATGCGGCTAGAGATGTACGCTTGTCTGTGAGAAATCTTGACGGAAAGCCCGCATCACTCAATATCCTGTTTGAGATCGAAACTTGCATTCGTTGTCCACTGCCGACCTGTTTATTGGAAGCAATGGTGTGCTAAGCACCATGCTTGCTTCGTCTACCGACTCGGCATGAAGGATAGTTACTACTGGAAAGAACCTCCTCTGAAGTACGGTGGGAATCCGAGTCGGATGCGCACCCTGGTGCGATGATACCATAGCAGGCAGGTGCCTTTCCGCTTAGGGTAATGAACTACGCTGCTGACCGCTCCGTCTCGGAACAGCAGCCACGAGCGTTGTAAGTACTTATATGCAGCCCATACAAAGTATCGGCTTTGTTGCTTCCTCGAACACGCTTTCTTCATATGTCTATGTGGACCACGTTCAACCAGAGTCTTGTCAAAAATTCTGACGGTGGCGGAACTACCCCGACAAGAGCGTCTCTAGAGCCGGCCCCTGCGGCACATGATGAAATCGAGGATGTGACTCGTATGGATGAACTCGCGGAGCATGGCCCTCGCGCGCCGCCGGTCATCACTTCGAAAGTTCGGTCTGCAAAGGGTGAAGAAGACGTTGATCCAAACAAGGTCGTCTGGACCGAAGGAGAATCAGATAACCCACAAAACTGGTGAGTTCCTTCCCTAATCCAGGAAGCTTTTTTTAATAAAAAAATGAAACCCTATTTGTAGGTCAACGCGTTATCGGTGGTGCTTGACATACCTGGCAATCACCATGAGCTTGAATTCGTGAGCCCCATCCATCCAACTGATAATTTTATATAGCGGATTGACTGTCTTCTTCCTAACAGTACATTTGCATCTGCAGCGCCAGCTCCCGCAGTTCGCTTCATAGCAGCCGATTTCCACACCTCTGCAGAAGTCTCTCAACTGGTGACATCAATCTTTCTATTTGGTTATTGTATCGGTGAGAGCTCTGTCGTGCTTTGGAACCACCCAGCGAGTAGTAGTTGACCGGCACAAAACCTAGGACCCCTTTTATGGGGTCCTGGTAGCGAAATGTTTGGTCGACGCCCCATCTTCATAATCACCAATACCGGCTACGTCCTCTTCACTATTGGACAAGCCCTCGCTCCTAACATGGCGACTCTGCTCATCACCCGTTTCTTCGCTGGATTCTTCGGTGTCGCCGCAACAACTAACGTGCCTGGCATGATGTCCGATATATGGACGGCAAAGGCTCGAGGTCAATCCGCCGTTGCCGTCATTGGTACTATATTCCAAGGTCCGGTGCTCGGTGGCATTATCGGTAGCTTGTACGTATGGTGTCTATCTGAATTAGCAGCAGAGTTGGCTGATGTATAGTATCAGCATCGCAGAGAGCTCTCTGGGATGGAGATTGTGAGTGGGCACTAGTGCATATTGAACGCGTGCGGTCAATGCTCACATGGTCCCCTTAACAGTATATTTTGGACGATAGTGATATTTGGCGGAGCCGCTTCCATACTAGCATACTTCGCCATCCCGGAAACGTACCACCCGATTCTATTGAAACGTAAAGTTAGCTCATTTCCTAAGCCTCTCGACCGGTTAGTTTATCCTGTCATCAGGCCCAGAAGCTACGGCAGGAAGATCCTCTTAACAATCGGAATTTATATGCAGATCATGAACGAGAGGACAACACTCTCAAGGGCATATTACGTCGGACAATTCTTCGGCCATTCATCATTCTGTTTGAAGATCCCATAATGCAATTGATCACGGCTTACATGGCATTTCTATAGTGCGTCATGTCTGAGATCCCAACACAGGCCAAGCTTACATACTTTCAACGCAGTGGTATCATCTACGGGCTTCTAGACGCGTTTCCTATCGTCTTCGTTGACAAGCGGCATTTGAGTCTACGAGAAAACGGACTCATGTTCGTCGGTTTGGGTATTGGCATAATGATCGGCGCTTTCATGTCCCTCCTATCTATGCGACATATAGGGAAACTGGCCGAAAAGTGGCGTGGATCCCCCCCTCCTGAGCAGCGCCTTCGTGGTGCAATGATTGCGGGGCCCTGCTTGGCTATTTCTTGCTTCTGGCTTGGATGGAGCGGAAATTTCTCATCCGTGCCGTGGTATGTGCCCGACCTGGCCGTCGTATTAACAGGTAGTAGTATCATCTTGTCGTTCATCTCTCTCATTGTAAGTGAACAATCTGTGCATACAGAGCCGAGCTGATGTCGGTGTCTAATAGACATACACTATCGGTGCATTTTCATGCTGGAATATATGACAAGTGATGGGATCTGACAGCTCATTTACTTTGCAACATAGATACATACTTGTGCGTCAATGATACGTTCACGGTCAGAACCGCCTCTGATCAAATGTTGCGTTGATAGGGTTTACAGTGCGTCTGCCCTCTCCGCGACAACGACTGTCCGAAGTGGGGTAGCCGCTGCCTTCCCATTATTCACAACACAGGTGAATCCGTTACGCTCCAAAGGCGATATCATCTAACATACGTGCAAACGCACAGATGTTCACCAAGGTGCGTGTTTGCTGCTCTTCGTCGCACGTGGTGCACCCTAATTAAAGCTGTCACGGTCCATCATTCTCTCAGCTTGGGGTTGGATGGGCAGGCACACTCTTAGGACTGGTCGCACTCATGCTCACACCGGGTCCATTTCTGTTCTATAAATACGGCGCTCGCATTCGTCGAAGGAGTCGCTTCGCTCCTTGCCTGGTATGTTACCATGATTACGGTCCTGTCAACCTTTTTCGCTGATCGTTCGCTTATTTGATTTAGGACCTCAAGATCGCCGAGGAACTAGAAGCAGAAGAGCGTAAAGCTGGTTCAGAGAAGCCGTCGAACGCGATATGATGAGGGTAAAGGAGATCATATTGGTCACAGTACCCATGTATGACATTTCATACGCTCCAATGACCGACGACAACGATCAAACGTTCCTTATGGTACGTCGTATTCACGGATCGGTAATGACGGCATCAGGTTGCGTCGACACCGTGAAGAAATTGCCCGCTATGGGTTCTCCTAGTCCGACTTGTTCCGCGAACGCAGTCACGTTAAAGTCTTCAATGCTCGGATCGATACTCGTCGGGAAATCGGCAGGTTGATGCCATAGCAGTAGGATATACCGATGCGAATCGGAGTTTGTGGGTGGGGACGGCTGCACGAAATCCGAAATAGCTGGGGTGGTATTGAACCTGTAAAGCGTCGGATTGTGCTGCTATCGACTGGATTGTCGACTCACAGTGGAGTGCCGAAGGACGTCGGTACACCGGCCAAGCGGAATCCTCCTCCAACGAAATGGCGAATCTGCGATATATTGGGCTGTTGGGGCGTCGGGGCATCCGGGTCCACCTGATTGCAACGTAGTTCAATGACATGCACAATTCACCCCGCTGGAATATTGCTTACCATAGTGACGACAAACTCTTGATCCGCCGAGATCCCCTTAGTTCCTGCAACGGAAAAGATGGGGCGGTTCACAGTCTCTGCAAATGTATACTAAGCAAGGTGTATAACAGGGATCATGAAAATGAATTACGAGGCATAGTAAAGTTGGTTCCTTCGTTGGCTTCTTTGACCGTGTGGTTGAAAAAGAAAGTCACGCCCAAACCAACCGTAGGTTGAAACACCGGTATAACGTTCGGAGTGATCTTGGCTACCTTGAAGGCTTGCACTGCTGTGCTGGGGCTGGGTGCTGAAAAAGGCAGCGTGAACGCAGTGGCACTCAAGGCCATGGTGATGCATAAGATCGGAAGCAGCATCGCCGACGGAAACGACGTTGAGACAACTGAGTGGACCGAGGACGTGGAGCCTGAATGCTCTCAAACATTCTGTCCATGATTATAAGCCTTAGCCGCCGTCCACCCGATGCATGGTGCGACGGGTGTGATGGCGAGTTCCCCGCTTCGTCAGCAACTTCTCAGAAAGTTTGCTTACTGCCTCCGTCATCCATGCAACCCCGGACATCGCACATGGCGGCCCTGCGTGTGGTAACGATGGCGGAGGCGAGGAAGTTCGTGGGTCGCTTCAGTGGGGCAACGTAAGAGTCAGACTAATATAAGCGACAGTGTCACACAAGGCGACAGAATCTGTCGATAAGCTGGGATTCCGGTCATGGAGAGCTATATTCGTTCAGTGCAACCAAGTGAATGCACAGCGGGCCAAAGAAGGTTGCCGTCCGATATTTCACGCGAAGTGGTTGGAGTGAGAAAGACGGTGCCCGTACCAACACGAGCCCCATGATAGCACGAACGAAGCGTATGCCGGTGGCCATGGGAGGAACTATGTAAACAAATACCAACCTGGTGATCTCGCCATGCATATTTAGACACGAGATATATTTCGCTGAACACATACGTCATATTGGTGTCTCTATATGACAATCCTCACACGCTTGGAGAGCCTGGGTCGGTAATCGCTTGGATCAGCAACGAAGAAGAAAAATCCTCAAGTACACAAATCGTGGACGGTAGGGTGCAAACATGGTCTTGCCAGGCTATTCAATGGGAAGTCCAAGACTGGCTCGCTTGCAATGTCATACGGCGTCAGCGTTGTCACCCACATGGACGAGGCATGCTTACCAATTGCAGAACGTTTGCGCGCTCGGCAGGAGGCAGTCGATGAACTTCATCCAGAGGCATTTGGACTAGTCGCATCAGCATAGCCTAGAACGAATGGCCTCTTTCAGGCAAGGTCAACGTTTCAATGAGGAATTCGTGAACCTTCTGATCATCGGGCAAATTCACCAGCGCTTCAGGGAGGGCTGGTGGCGGTTGACTATATCTCGACGAGCCTGCCGCATATGCACCCAAATTGAATTCCGGTTTTGGCTGAGTCACGACATTATACTGGTGATAAGTAGATGGGCCGGCTTCAGGCGGGTAATGTGTTGGTGGCCCATATGGTGGGATGTTCTGTGGGAAAGGCGGTGCGTTCTGAGGAGTGGATTTGCGGGCTTGGGTGGCCACATGCGGTAACATGGTCGGCTGAGTAACAGGCGTCGATGTGGGTAGTTGGGTCTGAGTTGCACTGTAAGCGCCAAGCGTTTTCTGTAAAGGGAGAACATCTTGTAAACGATTCGAGCGCATGGAACGAACGAGGAAGCGCACAGTGAACACGTTGATATCCACCGCATTTAGCCTGACCATAATGGATATAAGCGCATATGCAATTTGGGGTTGCGCATTCAAGATGTTCCTAGCCTGATCTGGCGTCGTTTTCTGTCACCCAATCCGAGAGTTTGAGAATTTCATGTGTGCTCGCATGGACAAGGTAACCTTCAACGTTAACAGCAACTCTATGAGCTGGTCTTCCGGAAGAGTCTGAAAAGCCATTATTGTTCTCGTTGCACGAAATCCAGCGAGGTCAAGCTTTAAGCAATCGAAGTTGAGCACTGACTGCACAAGCGTCTCGATTGGAAGTGGTACGTCGTACGATCATGTGATTGAAGTCAATTCGAAATCACCGGGGCACCTGCATTCGGCCACATGCAATCTTGTTGCAGATTCCTTCACTACGCATGACCATCCGGACCGCCACATTCCGAAGACTAACTCACTCTTGGCCGTTGCTCCCAGCTTAGGAGACGAACATCATACATGATTCTCTGGGCTTTCTATGAGACTCTTTCCCTTGCGCTGGACATCGTGAGTCATCCGTCCACTTCGATTTGTGCACTCGGTGCACCATACTTGTGTTGGCGATTTGTATCGTCAATGTGCTGGGTTCGATATTCCTTCGTGTCTCCGGAGGTCCTGGACCTGCGGAAGCGGAAGCAGCATTCAGGGCAGCGAACCTGACGCCGGCCGTCATACCCATCTTCGATCCTGTCGTATCTTTGGGCGTTGATTACACCATCAAAGGAACCGTGAAACGAGCAGTACTTGGTACTAATTTCACTATGCCGGGTTCGTGTATAAGACAAATCGTCGACATTGATTACTGATGGGCGGCTTAGAGACTCCAACTAGACCCACTTGATCGATAGAGGGAGCTACGTCTATAGAGCCACACGAGACGTTCGTTATTGCGATGGTAAGGTCACAACAGGCGACCATGCGAATGCCATTGAAGGTCCTTCGTCAAGGTTGATCCCGATGCACCGACGCCACAAGAGCCAACCAATGCCCAGATTCGACATTTCGTCGGCGGAGGCTTCATATTGGCCGGTCAACCTTCGAAAGCAGGAACACCACTGTAGGCGCTTGAACCCAGCTATAATTGGCGCTGGTTTGTTGAACATCGAATATTGCCAGGGTCAATATTACCCCAGCACTTTCGGAGTACCGCCAGCCTTCGCCTCCGAACACGTCCGACCCACATATCAATACATTCTTACTCTTCAAGCAACCACCAAACTTCCCTCAAAGCCTTGCAGCTGCCAATCTAACGTCCGACGTCACGCTTTTCAATATCACTGCTTTTGCGGAGAAGCTTGGTCTAGAAATCCCCTAGCAGGAAACTTCTTGATCGTCAGTACCAATCCAAATGCAACCATCTTCGAACCCTGAGTCTTGGATTCGCAATTCTGATATACTTAAGTACATAAGTACCTTGTACAATACATGATGGAGTTTTGTGGAGTTGTGGCTGTGCCAATGTATATCGCTGTTGTGCCTCGACACATAATCAATCGCTGCTTATTTGCACCGGTGGTACCCAGGCTAAACTCGCAAGATGCCGCCTGTTGACGAGATCGATTTCCGTGCACACATCCGGGATTGCCTGCTGGATTATGTACACTCCCATATCACTGTTGATTATCGGTCGTGGTCCTCCGGAGAAGTGACCCGGGTAGGATTATCCTCTTTCAGTATGATGCAAGCCCAAGACGTTCTAGTTAGGTCCTCTCGCAATGCATATCGACTGTGCCCCTTGTGGAGAAATGCTCGATATACCGACTGGCCGAGCCGTTCGACGTGTTGTATAAGGTTTTGCACCTTCACAACCTGGACGCGTATGACGAAGGATGGTCAGCACACCGCGAGGGTGTTGCACTAATCAGGAGCACATTTTCTGCGGTGAAGAGGTCTCTTAGAAGCATGGTGCACTTACTGCAAGATGAAGAACGCAGGTTCCAATGTCTTGTCGTGGTTTCCGGTGGCCTGACTCGCTTCGCACAGTCGACGATATGCATTCGTACTATATGCCGGATCATCCAGTCCTCACTCGGGAATCCACCAAGAACAGCCTGAAGCTTGGCATAAAAAAGAAAGTCAATAGAATGCCCGAAGATCATATTGAAATGGTGAAGATGACTGGAATTCTGCGACTTCAGCCTCAGGACAGTGAGCCAAAGGAGGTGGTGATCGACCTGGAGACCTGCTTGTGCGCATCGTAATCCACACATCAGCTGCATAACTGCATAGTCCTGGCGCATATACGCGGGCGATTGTGCATATATGTGTTCATTTTTGATCTGCACAGGAACCTACGGCCCACCATTGATCAGATTTTGCATCGCCATATCGTGCAGTATATGCAGACCATCCCGGCACTCACTCCTGCTCCTCGGAGAGAAGAGCAATCGTCACTTCTGGTGTTGCATAACTCCTACGAACTCGCGGACGCGGATTTCCTTACAACCAAACACATGACTCCACCCGTATTCTCACGGCTTCAGAATGCTTATTACTCCGGCACACGACAAAACCGAAACGACTCTTTCAATTACGACGCGGTCAAGGATCTGCTACTGCTTCCGAGTGCTAGTATAGAATCCGACTGCGAATTCCAAGAGCTTGTTGCGGAAGAGCAGCTGCGCGTCGCGGATGGCTCGCGTACGCGATTCCTCTCTGTAAATCGTTGATCTAATAGGCCGTGCAGATGCATTTGCGCCTTTATCATCTCCATCCAGTCTTGATACGCTGTCGTTCGAGGACGATGCAACCTTGAACGACTTCTTGATCTCATCCTCCCCAGAGAGGCTAGCAACCGGCCCACTATTGGCGGATGCAGGATTTGGTACGCCGCCCTCTTGTGTGACGTTCATTTCAATTTACCTCGTGCTTCAAGATACCATACTCGTTCCTCGTTCCAGAGAAATTGGCAGTTGCTTGAAGATGGTTCATCAACGGCATAGGTGAGCGATGTGGCTCCTCGTTCCACGCCCACGTAACTGGACCTCATATAATGTAGTCTACTGGAGCTTTGTGCAGACAACATCCCTAGCTTTCTCTCAAGGCTGAGCACATCTCCTCAATCTCGAATCTCCTCCCCGAGGTCTTCTTCTACGTATGCCTGGCCCCCGTCGAATAAGCTCGGTGCACCAGAGAACTCGCCCTCGGAATTTCTTACCTTCGATGACACCCTCGTTTCCTTATACTCGGATATCCGCAAGCCTGATGCATCAGAGCTGAATATGAAGGACGAAGTTGAACAGCATGACGATTTATTCATGGAGGGTAACAGACCATGGTCTCATCCAAGAGGTGCTGGTAACTGACTCATTAACCTGTGCAGTTCCCCTTATCGCCGGCCCCAATCACAACAGCACTATCCGCGATGATCAGGCACAGTATCCCTCCTCTCTAACCGAGTTTCTGGCCCACAAGCCTACCGATATTCCCCTCGCTGACGATGCGACCTTTGAACGGGGACAGGATCGTGATGCTGCTCTGACGAGGCTCAATTCAAATATTCGGTTCTTGAAGAAAGCCAAAGGGATCCCTGCACTGAATGTCGAATTAAGCTGGAGGTATCATATCAAGGTGCCGTGTCCTTGATTGGCATGTTGACGCGATGAGCAGACCATTCACGTATGGCCGATGTATCCCTACCAACGAAGAGGTTTCACAAGCAAATACTCTAACTACGGAGGAAACGCTTTCACTCTCGAGTACCCGGTACGACTCGGATCAGCGACAACCATATGCTGAACTGGAAACTCTGCTGTGCCACATTACAGCTGTCAACGCTGAAGCGCCCACGGAGCAGAGGTCGCGATGCTTTTCCTGGGACAATGTGGAGAGCAGCGCTCTTCCAGGCCTCAGTGATATAACTGAGACAGCGGCCACCAGAGCCGATCGGACATGGTTAACCGAGAATAGCCGACGTAGTATGGCCGACGTGTCATCAAGTGAGGGCGAGGAAGTCGACGATGAAGCTCTCGATGGCAACCTAATGCCAGTCGAATGCATGCCACCTCACGATCTGCTCCAGGAAAATGTCGACTTCGCTGGTCAACGAACTCAGGACGACGCTGCCAACCCTCCACTTGAGGACATTCAGTGTGATACACCCCTATATTTGCCAGAGGACAAGTCATGGTTCTGCCTCGATGCTTCGTGTATCGAAACAAGGCACCTACCTGATATCATTCAAACCCAGGGCGGGATGATTATCATACAGGATAGCCCGGAGCACTCAGATTCTCCCCCGCACGAGTTTCCAAGCCGTGATTCGTACAGCTCTCTGCGACAAACATTTGCAAATTGCAGCTCCACCCCCACTCCTGGTCTTCGTCATGCCACGGTAGAATCTACTTCGGGCGTAGCGCCTGAAAAGTACGAGTTACAACAAACGCTGTGCGGGTTCATGCAACTCCGTGCCGTTGCCGTGGAGGATGGCGTTCAAGAAGTGTCCTCTCCCAGCCCGAGTGCATCCGCAACCACACCATCCGCGGTTGAAGCCCCATGTCCTGTCCTAGGCGTACCTGAAGAAGTTCTTGACAATAATACCCTGCAGCTAGCAGATGACTGGACGCCGACTACTAACATGCATCGCTACCTCGCATCCATGGGGCTTGTGCAGAAAACTCTTGTCGCCCGTTTCCTGCAGTCTCACTACGCGGTCGCACTCATAGAGCGCAGAGACTTAGGTGGCGTCGATCTCATCTTGGACCACCATACCGCCGTAGTTTACGTCTCCTTGCCGGCTTTACCATCTGACCATCGAAATCTGCTCGACATGCTGACTAGCATCTCTTGGCGATACTCGCATGTACTTGTCGTGTTCGAAGCTTTCCCTCCATCTTGCCTGTACAAAGCTCGAGACGACAACTCTGGGGCTCTGCAACCGCGCGTGTTCTCGGCCCCTGTCGTACGAGCCATCAAGAAGCTGCGGAGAGATCTTGCTATCGCGTCTGCTTGTAACGAAAAGCGACCGGAGACAAACGTTCATTTCTCATTTGCGCAAAACGCGAAGGAGGCCGCGAAGTTAGCTCGCGCATTCGGTGATCTTGCAGAAGCGGCTGACGCTACTGGGGTCATATGGGGCGACAGGGACTGGTTAGGAGACGACGAAAGAGAAGTAGGGATTCGTGCTCTTCACTGTTGCACGTCACTACACTCTCTTAACACCTTTCCGACAGGGAGAAACAGAACTAGCATCAGTACAGGGAATGAACGCACTTGCAGCCAATATAATATTATCACAGACAAGTCTCCAGTCATTCCTGAGACTCACTGCCCAAGAAAGGATGCAGAATTATGGGGCTTTGCTCGGTCCTGACAGAATCGTGCGTCCAGCATGACCGGTAGTCCCCAGTTACTGATTGTATTCCAGGCGATATGCAACGGCTATATTCTACAGCGAGTTCTCGACACGGACCTGCCGCCCAGTTCTCCCTGGCAAACGGACAGCTCGGACAGCTCGGACATTCACAAGCACGGATATTCCTCCATTCAGAATGCACGATAGACCTACTCAACGTCATCGAAATGATCACGGATTATTCCTAGCTTAAAATTATACAGGCGGCCTATTATCCTTCTGCGCTGCTCGATGTACATCAGTTACATGCTGAGCTGCCATGTGATGAATTCGTACTTACACATCGTGATCCGGTCCCCTAGAGAGAGGGCGATCCCTTGTGTTTTGCTGCGGATCCGCACGTGTCCCGTCAGTCCAATCTCCGTTCGCTCCACACTCAGGTTCGCGAGAGCATCTTCCCCTAGTTCGATGTGAGCCTTGATCATCAGGAGTAGACATAAACTAATGTCACTAACCGAACAAACTCCGTGCGTACATGTTGGCGGACAAGAAGTCGCAGTCACCCGAGAGCGCCCCTTCTGGGGTCAGACATGACATATTCGTCGATTTCATGACATGTGCGAGGTAGTCCCGAGGTTCACTGTCGCAGTAATCAATCTACATTATCCCGTGATCGAGGCGTTGCATCTTACGATATGGTGGTAGTAACGTTTACTCTGTTCTCCCACTCGAACTCGGTCCACATGCTGCGGAACTGTAGACATCTCAGCGAACGCATGTAGAGGGGAAAACATCCGAGCAAACCTGTGCTTCGGTGCAGTATGCGGGCTTAATGTAGTCCATGATGTCGATGTGTATGTCGTTGAGGATGACGCATGATTCTGACATGTTAGAGCCCTCCCATAATATGCTACCGAAAATGACGCCTGTCTCAGTGGAAGAGACCTATATACAATCATGAACGGAAATTCGAGCGTAGAAAAAAGGTGCATGCCTTGATGGTCGCTTTGATACTCTGGAAGCTATGCGGGGCAATGGTGTACACTGTGGGTCGCTCGACAAGTTTGAGATCGCCCAGGGTTGCGAAGTCTAGGCATAGATTTTGCAAGGTATTCGCTGTCTGGTTAACAAGTAACACATCTGCAGAACGAGAAGAGGTCAAAAGGGACTAGGAAAGGAAAGGGAAACAAGATACCAAGCACAATGTCGAAGCCTTGCACTTTGACATATGCCTCGGCGTATATAGGATCGGAGAAGCCTAATGTTACATGAGGAGACTTTCCAGGAGATGATAACATGACGTACCTGTTAGTTGCGTGATGCGACTGAGATTCGAGATGAAGTCCTCGCGAATTTCTGTGGCACCTGTCGCGCGTCCCAGGTCCTCTTCATACTGTATCCGACCGTTAAAATATGATGGTAACAGATGTGGTAGGAGGCACGCACGTCAATGACATCATCTGCAGCTTTCTTTGAGAATTGTCGAAAGGACAGTAGGTCATCGACCTGAATAATTGCTGCCTTGGAGCTCTCAGCCTCTTTCTTTTCTGCGGCTTTCTTCTGTTTTATGCATTCAGTCACAAAATCCATTGCATGACGTGCTATGTCTTTTACCTCTTGCGCTGTCAACATCTTCGTGTAAGCCGATTTGGTATCCTGAAGGAAGGCCTTCTGTGCAGCAGGCTGATCTTGCAGCTCGCTCAATGTTTTCAGGCAGTCGAGGATGCGTTCTTGCGAATCTTCGTCAATCGGGTGGGCGACGTACTTCGACTGGCCAACTCGTATGATCGAGGCCATGATAAGCATTGCCTGCGCAGCGTGATGGTAAGTAACAGAGTAGGCTAGAGTCAGTGAGAGGGAAGTATCACCTCTGCACGCAGACTGTTCGACGTCTTCCTATCATCTGAGGCAGCGGCAAAGCGTAACACAAGCTTGGTCAAGGCACTAGCAAGGATGGACGCGGTAAAAAAATCTCCGCCGAGGATAAGCGCTGGAGAAGCTTGATGAGTATGCAGAATATCAGGAGTATAGCGAACTGTACTTCTGAGCGGTGGCTTGAACGCAGATTTTCCGCTCGACTTCGGAATTGAGAATGCGGTCTCCGTTGCATAGGTGCCGTCCGCCAAGACTTTCGGCCGTCCGCCCTCCTTTTCCTTACTGTCGCCTTGCTCAGGGCCTTCAACGCCGTTGACCTCGTCTTCCGCTTTTTGTTCGCCGGCAAGAATGGGTATTTCACCAATAATCTTCCTCGTGGCCTTGAACACCTCTTCTACACCTGCGAGATCCTCTATATATTCTCCCAATATCCAGAGCACACCCCGGAATACCTTGGACGATTTAATCTCCGGGAGTGTTTCCACGAGGCGCGAGCAGATCGTTTCCCGAAGGTGAGGGAACTTCTCGACGACCTCTCGCACGAATGCTACCACATCCAGCGCCGATGGGTTATTCGAGTCTCCAAGGAAATCCATTAGCGCGTAGACCACACTTCCTGCTACTTCGGAGAACTTGATGGCGCAAACGTGTATCGATTGGATGAGAAGCTGCCTGTAGTCCGACGACTGCCCAATCTAGTATCAGAGCGGTTACGCGGCGAGACCCATGTGGAAAATAACCTTATCAAAGTCCGCGTCCTGAGTTTTTTGAAGTTGTTTTTTCAAGAACAGAACGACCTCTTCGACATTTCTGCTGGACGTCATGCTGAGAACAATTGCCAGCGCCTTCCGGCGAACCTCCATGTCAGGGCTTGACCCACAAATCAATGTGGATGCCACACCGATTGATGATAATCACTAACCTTGACAGGACCTGCAGTACGTCTAGAATCAAGCTGTCCAAGACGTGACCATGTTTGGACCGCAGAACTTCCAGCCTATCTAATACAATAAGCTTGACGTTGTTGTCAGACTCTTTACATGCCAAGCTGATATAGCAGGATGCAGCAGCTGCGGGAGTCGCTGTCAATTAGTTCTCGCATCGCCAGTGATGCAACGAACCTTTGACCGCCGCCGCGTTCTGTGTGAGAGTCGTAAGAGTCGTAGCTGCTTCATACTTGACAGCATTAGAAGGCGCGGTGAGAAGCTCCAGTATGCATCGGATATAGCGCGCCCGGTGAGTTGAGTCCGTCTTGCAGTCCTGGCGAATGACCTCGATGATGCTCATTTGTAGCAGTTCGTCCATGTTGGATATCTGATCATACACCTGCAGGACATATTCCACCGCCTTCGGCATAGCGCAATTTGCGAGGAACACGAACGCGTTCCGCTTGCATGTTGCGTCAGATTCGGCAGCCAGGAACGTCTGCATGAGCTCTGGAGCATCCGGTATAAGGTGTTCAAACTGGCGATAGATGGTATAGATGGCGAATACTGCGTTCTTCCGCACGTACGAGTGGCGGTGTTCGAGGCATGATCGGCAGACGGGAATGAGTGGTTCGAGGAGCTCGACGTCCTTGGAAAGCTTCGTCAGGAAACGCAGCGTTGCGCCCCGGATGTATTCGTTGGGATGTTGCTAGAAGCTAATCAGAGAAAAGGAGCGACGCCGTGCGCGTGAGCTCACCAGGTCGTTACGAATGGCGTTGCTGGGGGTACGTCATCAGACTGCTATCGCCGCTGAAAGGGACGGTAACATACACCACTAGGATCATCTCCTGCTTGAGTTTGCCATTGTCGTCGTATTTAGGGCAAACTTCCCAATAGAAGTGTAGCAACTTCTTGAGTCTCTTGTCTTTGGACGGCATGACATATTGAATGACCGGCATGAGCATCTGAGGCTATATCAGAGTATATGAGCTCCGGTTTGGCTTTGCAGCATTCGCTCAAGGCGTCTGGCGTACATACCTGAGGATTTCCATTGATAGTCGAGACTATGATCTTGCGCAACGTGTCAAACTTGACTTCGTCCGAGCCCTTTTGTAAAGCCGAGCGCAATTCTTGCACGGTGGGTACTTCATTGGAGTCATCGAAGACGACCGTGTAGCATGAAGATTCCCCAGCGGTCGCCATGATAAGTTGTACAGGTCGCGGTCAAAAGTATACAGACGATGCATGTGAGGGCCGCCCATGCATGCACCGCCACCCTACATTCCGAGGCCTGCAGGGCCGTAAACCACCTGTTGAAGATGCACAGTGCTTGCCACACACCAACAAAGATAGATTCCTCATAAAAACCACAGGATATGCAATATTCTGCTATCCATACGCACGAGATGCGCCGGACTAATCAGTGTTCGTTAATGGCTGGGGATGACACGTCACCGTTGAAGCTGAAGGTTGAATGAACCGCAGCTGTTACATCCGGAGCACATAGAAAAATCGTGAATGTTTATGCGAGAATGTAAATCGGAAGACTCTGTATATTAGTATCTATGTGCGATGGCGCAATGATCCCCAGCATCATCCATTATCATGAGGTCCGATGTACTACTTTCTCTGTCAACGCCTCCAGGGCACTCTTCGCCTCACTGTCCGGCAGCGGCTCTAGTACTTTCTTTGCTTGTTCGGCGTGGGCTATCGCCAATCTCCGCGTTCGTTCAACGCCAGAGGAACGGCGAACGAGTTCTGCGGCCTGAGAAACCAGAATATTCAATCGGCAGCAATCGCGAAGCCCGAATATCAGCCTCACCAACTCCACATCTCCCGTATGCTCGAATTTGCGGGCGATCAGAGGGCCCATTTCAGGGTGCTCCTCCCAAGCGTACAAGGCTGGTCCCGTTGCTAAACCAAGCTTTAGGTCGGCCCCACCCGGCTTGCCCATGGTCGACTCCTTCGCCTCGTAGTCCATGATATCATCGACCAGCTGCGTGCCTCTAAGTAAGCTGGCGCTAAGAGCACGTTGTTGAGGTATAGACTGACCTGGAACGCTAATCCGAGGTTGCGACCGTACGCGTAGGCTACCTCCTTCCAAATCTCGCCTTCCCTGCAACCACCCAGCACGACCGCGGCTCGTGAACCTTTTGCCATCAAACTCGCCGTCTTCAGATAGGTCTTCTTCATGTACATATTCCAATGTGCTTGCAGCACGGAACTCGGTTGCTCGCCATCCGCCAGCGCTGGAGCTGATTCCCGCGTCTTTTTCATTTGGATTATCTCGCCTTCAACCAAGTTTGAGATCACGCCGGCAATGAGCTCGGTGACCTCGTGCGACCCCAGACGAGATAGGGCTGCAGAAGCACGGCCAAGCAGGAAGTCTCCACCTAGGACAGAGACTTTGTTTCCAAACGCTTCTGGTGCTGACGGAGCTCCTCGACGGAGAGGGGACTTGTCGATGACATCGTCGTGAAGAAGGGACGCAACATGGATCATTTCCACAATTTGGGACAGGCGGCTCTGAGTTGGCAAGATGAGCTGTGACGGGTCGAGGGCGCAAGGTAGGGACTTCACGTAGGCCGGAGGTTGAGGTAGTGGAGGTCGAGGAGAAGGATTGACCAAAGGAAAGACCTCCGAGAAGGAGCTGGTATGGTCTGGCATATTCGGATTCCAGTCGTTCAGCACATCGGAGCGCGTTAAGGGCGCGTTCAACTCTTCCGCCCGTCCCCCGGCCCCTTCACACTCCATCTTCCAACGCTCGAACCCCCAATCCGAGCCGAGTCCATTGGTCGCCCTGGCGAAGAGGAGAACAAGGAGAGGTCGTATTTGTTTGGAGGGATGCAAGAAGTAGTATTCTGCGATTCGGTTGAGCGAGGGGTGCGAGGTGCCTAGCAAGCTCAGCAAAGTTTTTCGTAGGTGGTTGAGTTCGGGAGCGAGAATGGAGAAGGGGTCGACGCGCTTTGTAGACGCGTTTTGCGGGGGGATTTTGGGAGGGTTCGGCTGCTCTGGAATCTTGAGCTGTTCTGCAACGGCCGCATATGCTCGGTGGTGCCTTGAGCGCGCCCGAGCCCATAGCCTTGGCCGAGGCAGGTGCGCATAGGGGCGGGCGTATCGTTGCATGCCGCACAAATTATGAGGAGACCCAGTAGGAGGGCACGGCCCTGAGTAGAATAAACAGAGAGAAACCGCTGCGAGCCTGCGGATGACGAACACAGGAGGGAGACGTGCGAGTCGGTCGGGCGCGATCGTGGCGGGATTTCCAGCACGGCCATGTCGGCAATCCTCATACCGATTACTGACGTCGTCCTACTACTCCCGAACAGGGGCGAGGAGTGCGCTACTCTCTCAAGCGTGCGCAGCGGTGTGAGATGGAAGAGAATTGTATTCGAGTCCCAAAACATAAAACCAGAATTATGCGAGAGCAAGACAATACAACTTTTAGACAACCGCATGCGAGCCCTACTTGCGCTTCGTCACGTTCAACTCTTTCTTCTTCTCCTCGCCAGCCGGTGCGACAGGCGCAGTCTCAGTCTTCTTGGCATCATCTGGTGTTGGCGCATCGGTCTTCTTAGAGGACTGGTCGTGGTTAAATTAGCACGTGCTGACGGTATTAAAATCGAGATCAATCGGCTCACCTTCGTGATTGGCTTCTGAGCGCCTCCAACGAGGCCAACGAGAGACGCAAGCATGCCGAGGAAAGTCAGCGTCACGCCGAGTAGAGCAGCGCCAGTCTCAGGGTGAGACTTGAAGGCGAGAACAGGGTCCAGCTTTGCTTGTTCAATGAAGGTTATGACCTTGTAGCGGATGAACGCCGTCGGATTTTCCGAGAATGAAGGAACTTCTTCCTCCTCCTCGTCATCGACAACAGCCTTCTTGGCAGTTTCGAGAGGCTTCTTGACGAAGAACGTCTCCTCAGCGAGTTTGCGTGCCTCCTCAGGCGAGTGGCCAACGTAGATGTTGTCGAAAAGGATGTCCTCGGTCATGGTCCAGAGCTCGATACCGACTCCGCCGATCTTGTTAAGACTTTGCGCCGGGTGCGAATCCTCGAAGTAATCGGGGTTGGGAATCTTGCGAGGAGCCCATTCACCCTTGTACGCCGGGTTGTCAATCATCGGGGCGTACCACTTGCCCTTGTATGCCGGGTTAGCCTTGTAGGGGCTACAGCGATGTATTTAGTCAGGATCCCGGGACATCAATAGGAACAGAACGTACCGCTTCCATTCACCACATCCCGGAGCTTCGTCGCACTTCGGGTTGCGAACCATTGGCGGAATCCAGTCGCCGTCCTCCTCGTCGTCCCATTCCTCGGGCTTCTCCGAGTCCGGATCAGGTATAGTCTCGGGCTCATCGTCCAGCCAGCCCTCAGGCTTGACAGCGTCCTCGTCGGGGATCTCATACGGCGCATCTTCGTCCCAATCTTCGGGCTTCCTCGCCTCGGGATCGGCGATCCTCTTCTCATCCACCCAGTCCTCGGGTTTCTTATCTTCAGGGTCGTCGATCTCTTTCGGAGGGTTAACCGAGGGCTTGAAGTCTTCGAGCAGGCTTCCAGTGTTGTGGCTCTCGCCGTTAAACAGGACATCATAGGTGTTGTTCTGAGGGCTGGGGTACCTCAACTCAGCGCACGCACGCAACAGTACCCGCGAGAGTACTCACTAGACAACGAGAGTATACAGGTTGGTGGTCTTCTCAATCGAAGGCTTAGGAGGCTGGGCCAGATGCTTCTCCTCATACTCGCCAGTGATGGGGTTCTTGTGCCGGAAGATGAAGTGAACCTATGGATACATAGCGATCAGCACTCGTGCAATGGATATATCCCATGCGGAATACGTACCTTCGTGCCTGGGCAGGTCAAATCAGGGCCAAACATCACGACCCACGGCGTCTTGTCCTCGAACTCCTTGCCGCTAGTCTGGAATCCATCCTCGAGCAACTTGAGGTAACCACCGCCGCAGTTGCCGCCCTTTTGGTACTTGACCTCGTATTGGACAACGAGCGGTTCGTCTTTGAAGGAAAGGGGAGCCTTGAAAGGAGCGGAGATTGCGTGGTGGGCAGCCTTGGACTTCGCCACGAGACCCTTGTCGCCCTCGATGATAACCTCCAGGGGCTCCTCGACCTCCCACTTGCCGACGTAACTAAACGTTTCGCCACCAACGGGAGTCTTCTTCGTTGCCTCCGAGACTGTCCAGCGCTGGGACCAATCGTCGGTGAACTGCTCAAGGAAGGGTGCCTTGATCTCGGTGGGCTATCATGGACTTCCGTCAGCGTGTACACGCGCTTCTGGGGTGCGGACGTATACTACCTTGAAGGTGGGCTTCGGCTCCTCCGCCGCGGCTAGGCCGGCAGCGGCGAGCGTCAGAGCCGTCGAGAACGCTACTGCTCGCATTGGAATACGAGAGACCAGACCGGGTTGAGGAGTGCGGTGAAGATGAAGTGAGAGCCACGTCAATGGACTCGCGCTCAAGTATGCATTCGGCTCCCTCGTCGGCCTACGTGGCGTCTCACGCAGCCACATGTCACGGGAATCATTCGGGGAACTTCCTGGAAAGGCGGCGAATTACTCCGGACTGTGTCCCGCCACGTATACGATAGGACCAATATGTAGAGGATAACGCGTAACAGCACAAACTACAATTACATGAAGGAGCATTCTTTAACCTAGCAAGTCGGCGTGCCCGGATGCAGATAACGCGAGCTGGCGAAAGGCGGTGAGATTCCGTATCCACCGACGACAACAGCAAACGTACCACAAATTCGTCGTCCAGGTACTTCGACACCGCGATCTGGTCGCCGAGACCCTTACGCCGACGCGTCTTCAGGACAAGATCTCGGGCAAGTGCCTGACCGGACGCAGGTTCCAATGGCCTGAGTTTGATACTTGTGTCCGTTGGGTCACCTATGCGGATAATCAAACACAGGCGCAAACGTCGGGAAGCAAGCCACATACCAGGGACAATTGCCCAATGATCGAATACTTGAAGGCAGAAGGCCTGCCCTTGAGTCGCCGTCCTCAGGTCGGTTTCGAAGCCGTTGGCATCGATCACGGGTATTAACGCCTTCACGGTATATAGTGGCGATCCAGCTTTGGGGATATCTTGCGTAACGTGTCCGCGTCTCCGCGCAAGCACCGTGTACACTGCTGAAACACAATCCGCTGGCGCCTGAACCTCAACATAATAAACAGGTTCCATGAGCCGAGGCGTGGCCTACATCCAACAATTAGCATCGGTCGAACGCTCAGCCGTATAATACTAGCTTACCATGAGAAACGAGGAATAGCAGACGCGACGCGCGGTCGGTACAATCTGGCCTCCTCCGCGGAATATCGGTTCCTGTGCTAAGCTTGCGTCCAAGATGCGAAATTTCACGTTTCGCATTGCTGGGATGGCTTCAGAACCGGATAGCATGCGAAGAGAAGATGAAAGCGTACGTTCATCGCACAAAGGCCCTTCGCGCGCGCCCCACTGGAAGCCTTGCTTAATGTGTTCTTTGACAACACCAAGCAATTTTTTATCGACCTAGCGCACACAGATTTAGCTAAGTTTAGAAAGGGAATTCTCATTTACCGTCGAAGGGAGGGTATCGTCCAAGAGAATGTTTGGGCCCTGATCGTCCGGTCCAAACGCCCATATTGATCTTGAAGCGAGCAGATCCCACTGATACTTGTCCTGGAAGAAGGTGCCCCGCTCCTTGGGTGTCATCTGCATAGTAACACGCCCGGACTCGACGTCCTCCGCGATGCCTTTTTCAAGAGGCTCGGCTATCATTGTGATGCGGTTTCTGCGCCGCAGGGCGTCTCAACGCACGTCAAACCACGACCGTGAACTTACTCACTTCTTGTTCGGTGTGTCCGCGTAACACTTTAATGCGCTGGTCTCCAGCACGGTCTCGCAAAACTTCGTCACTGGATCTGATACTTTGATCTCAATTTCCGAGAACAGCTTGCGCAGGTCGTGCATCACGCAGTCCAGGTATAGTTCCCCAGTTCCAACCACAACATGTTCTCCACTTTCTTCGACCTTGGTGACCACGAGGGGGTAGGATTTGTTGATGCTTCGCAGGCCGGACAACATCTTGGGAAGCTCAGAGGGAGCAACCGGCTCAATGGCAATTTTGAGGACAGATTGAGTCATATGCTTGATGGGCCGGAAGATGTGAAGATCGTCATCGATGTCCACGGCTGAGATTGTAGCTGTTTTGGATATGGACAGATCCACGCCGCCGATAAGGATAAGGTTGCCCGCTGGAGCCTCTTCCATAGGAACGAAATATCTGCCTGGCGTGAGCCAAGGTCGAACAGCCAGAAGTGTAGTATCAATACCTGGCGCCGCTAACCCACAGATCGTCAACGGTCGCTATCATCATGTCTTCTTCGTCTTCCGGTGAGTATCCCTCGCCGAGTACCTTGACGCTCGCGCCTTTCCGCAGAGTACCGCTCATAACGCGACCAAACGCACGGAAAGACTGCGCATCCGTTGTGTGGTATAATTTCGAAATCTGTACCATCACAGGAGCTTCTGGGTCGCATGACTTCATCGCTCGGGCAATATCTGAGTGTTGAGGACCAGTGTATGTGCTCTCAACCTGCGTCGAGTCAGAAACCGAATGATCGTGCATTCACGGTTCTCACCTTATAGGCAGCATTTTCGAGTGGGGATGGGATATTCTCTGTTATCATATCGACCAGTCCAGTGGAACGACCGAAGAATTGATCTACGACGACCTTCAGGAGAGGCCTAACGTCCATTTTGTACAGCACAGGCTTGAGGCTGATCCCGAGCTCCGCCAGGGTCTCTTTGAGTGTCTCCTTGTCCTCGCTGAGCACCTGGCTGTATAGCTTGTAAAGAGGCTCGAGAATAAAGTGTACGAATGACCGGTTCTGTTCGGGATCAACAGCTTTGCGACTGAACTTGCGGGTGTCGTTGTTGAAGTAGATGTCTCCCCAAAGTCTGTCGGCAAAGGCGCCAACGTCAAGAGAACCTAGGGTCGTAGGATGAGTAAGTAAGATAAGAACCGCACGACATTGACAGATGAAACGTAGATTACCATACGTATCCGCATACATCTGTGCGAAGGACCTCAGTGTAAAACAATAGTGCATGTCCGTGCTTGCAAATGCGACATTTCCCAGCTCAGGGCTCAGACGGAGGTCCGGGTCCGGGTTTATGCCACTAAAAGTATAGTGATGTTAACATAGGTTGAGTCAGGGGAAAGCTGTATGTACGCCATGAAGTTGTTGATTTCTTCGATGGTGTGCTTGATTTTGTAGTAGGCATCCGCAGGTTTGACCCGCAGCTCGAGGATCAGTCTGTCTATCTTATTGACCACCAGCGTTATCTTGATACGCTCTTGTAGAGCATGCCGAATGATTGCCTCGGTGTTAACCATGAGCTAGGAACTGGGTCAGACCCATGAACAACCTGATAAAATCTTGGTCGAACCCCTTCCACCACGTCTACCACCAAGAGGACACCATCAGCAACGCGCATGGATGCGGCAATTTCGTCCACAAAGTTCACATGTCCAGGCGTGTCAATGAGATGCAACAAATGGGACTTCCCGGCCGTAGTAGCGAGTATCAGTGACATGGGTTGGGATTTGATGGAAATCTGACGTTCCCGGGAGAGCACATGGGTGTCTGTGTATCGTAGCTAGGAAGTTGGGCCGTTAATTCGTAGGCTACCGGGAAGAGGACGTACAAACAGACCTGCTTGTCGGAGTCCCAGTCAAGTTTGTGAGTCTCATAAATGAGCATATCTAGGAGTGCGGTTTTGCCGTGGTGCAAATGGCCCGCGATTGCGACGTTGCGGATCATTTCGGGAAATGCGGTCATGTTGAGCAAGAAACTGGACATCCGTAATGAGCCGCCGAGATCAAAACAGTACATGATATTTCTTACCCCTTATCATAACGGGTCTCCGGCATGTCCTTCTCCTCAACAGTCCATTTTCGAACCTTGATGGGAGCGACAATAGGTTCGGAGAGGGGTTGCGTATCCTCCTCCTGGACAAGTGTCTCAACGTCCTGGCCATAGATATCACTAGCAGACGGGTAGTACTGCTTGTCTTCATGAAGGATGACCGCGTTATGTGTCGGCACTGCGAATTAACACGTCAGGAACGCGTCGCATGAACCATACATAACACTGAACGTCGACAGACGTACCGTCGACTTCCATCAGAGAGTTCTCCTCTGCATCCGGCTCTTCGTCAAATCCTTCGAGCGGCGCGGTAGTCGATGCAGCTGCCGATGCATCTCCGCCGACAAAGCCAAGTTGCGGGGAGTCGACCTCCTCGTCGGAGTCGAGATCGCCACCGATGTAGTTTCCAAACTCGTCGTAGTCTTCCAGGGATGCCATGTTCACGCAAATTATGAAGCGCGGATTAAGAGCTAGGAGTGTTCGCGCGTCGACGCAAGGTGTTGTTTTTTGCGGGACAGGCGACGGCCGAAGCCTTGAGAGTGGAGGCTGACTTGGTCGAACGAGCGGAAGAGAAGTGTAAGTGGCTGTGTTGTCTGCAAGGAAGCCATTTCTCAGTGCGAGCTTCAACAGGGTCGATAGGATATCATGGCCACCCTCTCAGATGATACGCTGCGGAAGGTCTCAACACGGATACATGCTAGCTTCGGGCTGTATTGACGACGAGACATCACGCTCAGATCCTCGTACAAATACAGCAAACGGCCATTCAATCTCAACGTGCACTCGCAGTCTCTCGACAACAGACCGCTGCGAAGGAGCGCGAACGGCGTATATTGCAGCTTACTATCGATGAAGTCAGCTCTCTAGACCCCGCTGTCAATGTCTACAAGGGCGTCGGTAAAATGTACGATCTGTACTTTCCGAGATGTCTCGGCTCCTGAGCCTATGTCCCAGGTTCCTTCAGGTCCCTCGCCCGATCATGGACAAGGACTTGAAGAACCAAGAGAAAGAGCTCACTGATGACATTAACAGCCTGAATAAGAAGGTGACTGCGTTGCTGATGACCCTCCGGGACCTACTTAGCATGACTTCTCACAGTCAAAGTACCTCGAGAAGCAATTCAACGATGCACAGGGCCAACTGCGCGATATCGTATGTCCATGTCCATTCTCGTTCTATGAGTTTGTCATTGCAGCTCACTTGGTTCGCAGTTCCAAAGTGCGCCGAAACCATAGTAGGGTAACCGAAGCGATGCAATGGTCAAGGACATTACCCATACCCCTAGCTCTGCAAATTCAACGGGAAATATCTCGAGCTTGCCCTCTTAGAAAATGTCGTCCTGTTTCCGTCTACGATCCAGCCGAAATATCCGTCACGACCATCCGTTGATCCGTTATCAATGCGGATCCGGGCGGAAGCTCCCAAAACCCCTATATCGCCGCTCGGGTTATAAGCTTCCCTGTAAATCCAGTGTGGCCATCATCTCCCTGATCTGCGCTGGTCTTACCAGCCGCTTCTCATAATCCAGAGGTCTTGTCAGCTATCGACTCCACGAATACCAGCAAATCCCGCCCTTGCATTTCCATCTTCGACGATGCGCATCGGTCTTAATGCATTATACACCATCACCACGATGTTATCAGCGTCAATCTCAACGGCTGCACCAATTCCTTCAGGATTCTATATTTTTGCGGACGTATCTCCGGGCGCCATGAAGAGAGTGCAGTCTTCGCGCTCTGCTGCCGACGGGGTCTTGACACCCGTATCGTCCTGGATGGAGGCATCGTTCACTCCTACGCGGTTGGACAAGGACAGGATCGATCTTCTATCGATCGTCTACGACCCGCACAACGGCTCGCTTTATCTCCTCCCAGTACCAAGCCTCGTGGCTTTCTCGGCGTCAAGACATCCCGCGACGTCCGTTTCCAACCCTGCCGCGGTTGTCAGCCCCAATGAACATGTCGGCGCTGATGCAGCATTTGCCAACGAGCTGAATCCTAGTGTGCCATCCACATCCTCGACACCTCCTCTCTTCAGTAGCATGGCAATCATGCCAACTACGTACATCTCCATGGGTACCCAGCATGAATAAGGTGTGAATGACATTTGCTCAGGGTTATGAATTCGTGTAGCGACAAAAACTATCGTGGATCCTGTACTACTACTATAGCACGGTTGTTCCGCTATTGGGACCGCGCCGGAAATATACCTACCTACCTACACGTGTCATAGCACGACCATCACCGTCTGCCTGCGATATTGCTCTGCTTATCAACGATAACATCAGTTAGTTGCAACACGGTGCAGTCCATTACTGGACATCACGAAGATGCATCAGAACAACTCGAACGCATCCCATTGAGGCACAATTGCACCAGCGTTGTCTATTTCGACCCATCGCTTCCTTCCGTTGTCCATGCTCCCATCCTCATGGTCTCCGCCTTCCAACCCAAAGGCCCCCTGCCAGCCGAAGCCCACGGCAGCCATCCTGCAGACATTGGAGCTGCCGGTGCCATGTCAGATTTTGAGGTGGGAGCAGTATGAGGAGGATGTTATACCTGATCCCGCAAATGACTGCTGATGGTTTAATCTCGGCCTCCCATGCCCACATCCCGCTCATCAGGGCAAAATCCGTAATCATTCCCCTTGTCAACCGCACCCGGTCATCTAGAGGAAGTCCGCTGAATTTCTTCTGCTCGTAGCCCACTTCGCTCGCAATGTCACGTAGTTCCGGGTTTGAGCTCCGTGCTAACGAGAATATGCGACTGGGATCAACAGCCTCGGCGAACTCTGTTTGCGCTGCAATGGTGTCAGAGGCAATGTAGACGGTTTGCATCTGACCTTTGGCTCCAAGTGATGCTTCTTGGTGGAACCGATCCCATGTCTCCTGGACAGCATCGGTGTAAAGGGAGATGGGAAGGTAAGAGTTATGATATGCCCATGATGAACCTCGCCTGTCCCCTCGTCGAATGTGAACCGCCAGATAGGGCTCTTGTAACTCGCGATCCACTATATTAGCCAATTCCGAGCGGGCGGACCGTATGAGCGCGGCGTTCTTCGCGTTGGGACGGATAGTTTCCGCGAACGAATGGAAGGCATGCTGGAACATCGGCTTCATTCGATTAAGTGATTTGGCATACCTAGCATACGCGAAGGTTGATACATATCGAAGTGCGCAAATGATAACCGGACGTACGGATCCTGATATTGTTCGGAAAATGGATGCCCAAGATGCCATTTTGCTGTCCGAGAATTAACAATCTGGACAAACCCACTCGTTAGATTTTTCGGTCATGTGTTGTGCGATATAATCGAACCCAGTGTCTACTGGAGTTAGCGAACTACGCGTAGTTTACTGCGGATAATGCACACCTCGCTGTCCGTGGGCAAGCAACAAGCTCTGTTGCGCAGGTAAGTATGGGGGAACATCACGTTTGTTGTCTCCTTCACCTTCAGGTGGAGGAGGCCTACAGTTTGGTTCAGGACCCGGTTGCCTTGACTGAACCTGCTGGAAATGGTCGGTCCATCTGGTGGAATGAGCGGATGTGATAACCTGGTTGGCAATGGCTCACTTTCCACGATTCCAATAAGTGTCATCAACGAAGAAAGTGCGGTTGCGTTCTCGAGCAAGCGCAGCAACTTGCGCCATGAGCGCCAGGTCTGCCATCAACCCCACATGACCGTCGAGCATGTAGGTGATGGAACTACTACAGACCGCCGTCGGCTCGTCCTCAGCCACTGGGTAATGTACACCTTCGTCTACGGAATCAGGATGAGGGACGTCCGCGGGCATTCCGTGCATTGGTGTCCAATAATCGCCATGTCCGTGCATCCACTTCGCGAACATCGTTGCGCACTCGTTGCGATATTCCGTCGGTGAAAGGGGGAAGTGCGTGTAGTTCTCGTAGGATATGAAGTTCCCATCGGTGTGATGCACGCCGTGAGGATTGGAGACGTTTGGTTTCGTCTGGTTTACGGCACTGGCGGGGATTGCCTGGCTCGTGGCATCGAGGACCTTTGGTCGTGTGAGAGAGCTCAGCACGAGGAATAGCAAGGCGGCGGCCAGTGATAACCCTCCCCATAGAGGAGCATACGATATAACGGAACGTGCCCAACGACGACGCCAGGCTCGCGATGAGTGGGAGCTGAACTGCGGATTGTCCCTATACTGTATGTCCCCATAAGAAGGGTTGCCGAGAAGCGGCGCGCGTTGACTTCCTGCGTGAGCCAGTTCGTCGTCATCGTCATCGTGGTCCATGGGACGGAGCTCGATAGAGGTCCTGGGTGTATTAGCATGGCTGGCGCGCGAGTGCGGGGTACGCGGTGTCAAGGCTTGGTACTCCGCGCCTGTTGGCTCGCCATTGACGAGTATCGTCAACGGCAGTGGGCGCGGCATCGATCGTTGCCAACAAGAAGACCTGGTTGGTGTCACAGCGTGAACAGTTGTACCAACTGGGCGTGAAGATGAGGGGAGAAAGCGAGATGTATATTCATCCACATCTGCGACCAGAGCTGTGCTCTCCCATCATCTCCTTCCCCGAGGTGCTCCTGGAATCCTGGATACCCCTTGCCTGAACGGGAGGAAGATTCTCACGACTCCCCGCGACTTGTAGAGCCCTCGGGCCTCAGGAATGGGACTTCATCTCGTGTTGCTTTCCGCCATGAAGCGCGTATCCGCCTTACTCGTCCTTACTCTGCTGGGTATTGCAAACGCTCACGGCGAGCATGGCAAGGCGGAGGGGGAGACTATTCAGCAGTATGCTCAGCGACATGTATGCGAGTCGACCCTGTACCGAGCGTTGCTGATGCATGTCGTGTTCAGATGTCCACGGAGCACCATATGTAGGGAATTGCGGAATGCACCTTAACGCTACCGTGCTGACAGAAGCACCACAGAGATACTTTCGATTTAGGCAGCTTTTTCCACCTTCATGACCTAAACCGGTGCGTGCCACCATGTCGTATGCAGCCACGCTTCTGACCCTGCCCTAGCGACGGCTTCTGGGATAAGGAGGAGATCGAGGCCATCTACGGCGTCCACCATGTTTACAACAGGAAGAAGTCCAAAGATGAAGAGGAACATCAGCGCAAGGCGGATCATATAGTGAACACTGTCCTGGCAGCAGTCGACAAGGATAAGGACGGCAAAATCTCGCGAGAAGAATTCGAGAAAGCAGGCTTGGATGCTTTACCAAACTTCGAGGAACTGGGCGCGGAGGGTCACCATTATGACGTGGAAAGCGGTGGGTCGATGACCTAGTAATGCTGATGGACGGACAACCTGACTGATTACTTTCATGCTGCCAGAGTTCTTCCTGCATCACGAAGGTTTGTATGCCATGAGATTTGCAGACCGTCATGAGCTGAAAAGGAGATAGAAATCTACCATAATACCCCGGAGACTCAAACCGACGAGTCCTACACGCACCCTGAAGACCTGGAACATTTCGCGCACCACGAGGAGATAGAACGCAAGGAAGCTGAAAAAGAAGCCGCTTACCAAGGCATTTCCGTCGAGGAGGCCATTGCGCAGCATGAAGAGCACGAAGCCCCTCCGCCTTCGCAACCTGATTCTCAGGTGCCCCTCGCGGACGATGTCCCAGCCGGCAATATCGCTCCCGCGCCTCCTCATGATGACCAGCAGCTTTCCGACCAACCTCTGAAGGAGCCCCCTCTCCCGAAGGTTACGCGTGTCACTCCCCCGGAGAAGATGGATCCTGTTGAACGATACCGAGAGGCGAAAAAGGCCAGCGGCGAACAGGAGGGCTGGGGCCAAGGCAACAGTGGATATAAGGCACCCAAAACCCCTACTGAGCGGATGAGGTACGTTGGCTAGGATAATCATCACTTGACATGCTAAGGATATGTCCTCGGTCTACAGAAAGAACCTTCCTTACAAGGTGAGACTTGATATTATCGCAATACCAAACCAAGTGCGAATTCTGACCATCAGGAACGCATGCAGTACAAATTCAAGAAGCAATGGGGCGACTTCTGATATTATGCACACTTTTTGCCGCCCCCTATTTATGCCTATATGTTCGATCGATGTTCGCCGTCGCCATTCCATGTACAATAAATGACCTCTCGATTCGTTAAAGGGCGTTTGCAGTAGTTTTGGATCGCCTTCATAACAGGTCTCTCCATGACCTCGTACGATCAATATTACCTATATGCCTATACTATGACGGCGAACGCTCGTTATGACTCGAAGCAAGGGTGAAGCATTGGTTGCGGCATCCGTCATAAGCCATTATCACATGGTCCCCCTAGAATACAGTTGTGCTGTTGTGCGACAATGGAAAACACTTCGTGTTACGGCTACACTCTTAACGATAATGAACACGTTCAGAACCAGTCTTCGGAATGATGCACATGTAACTTCAAAGAGAACATAATCAATGATGAGAATCAGAGCTATAATCTGCCAACGCACTTGCAACCTACGGCTGGTGCTGGTGCTGAATGAACGCCAACGCCAAAGCTTCATATATCAGAAGAATTTGTTCTTCCCTCTGAACCATGCCCGGCCGCTGCTCGCGTAAGGCGTCGATTTCCTGAGCGACCATATCGTCACGCAAGTCTTCCGGTAAAGGACCTAGAGGTGACGCCGGTAAGGGAGGAGGGGCAGGTGATAGCGGGGCCGGAGTGTATGACGGTGACGGAGAAGGCATTAAACCATAAGCACGCATAAGGGATGCAAGTGCAATGAAGGACCCGGTTCGTCCAATGCCAGCAGAGCAGCCTATGATGATAGCAGGATCCGGATCAAGGTCGTGTCCATGTGGGATCCAAGAGACATCCTTGTTGACTTGGTCGACCAGCCTGATGAAATTGAGGAGTTTCGGTCGCTCCTCCACCTCTGGAACTCCATGATCTGGCCAAGCGTGGAAGAGCAGATGATTGAAAATGATCGGCTCCGACATATCTTCTCCGGAGGCGGTGAGCGGAGTGATTGAAACATGGCTTATGATGCAATGCGCGTCGTCCATGTTTGAGCTATTGAGCAGTCGCACACGAAGAGGAGGTGCATGATGGCTCTCCTCCGAACGAATGGCCCAATGATCCCCAACCTCTGAAGGGAAGTAGACGTGTGCCTTCTGGGTTCCACTTTCAAAATTACGAGTGAGCTGAACGATCGTCCTCACGCGACTAGTCCTATATGTTTCCGCCGCCGCAACAGATATGGACTCCGGGGGACGAGTGCTAGGCTGAAGCAGAAGACTCAAGCTTCCGGGATGCAAGCTAGTGTCAGTCATAAGTCCTTCGCCAGGCAGAATGAGACGACTCACAATGTATGTGCGGTGTTTGGGAGTGGAGCCTGCGTTGCTATCCACCACTTCCCTGAAAGGTGCGATCTGAGAGAATGTTATCTTGCATTATAACGGTGAATAACCACCTCCGGCCAGCTCGCGGACCCAGTTCGCGTTCAGGTATCGGCCTCCGGTGTTCGTACCGATCTTTTCTATTTGCTCCTGGCCACTTTCGAGGTGCCCTTCATAACCTTCGCCGACTACAACTCGTGTGCGGTCGTACGGTTCTAGATGATAGTATCGATTGCAGCGTTGGGCCTCGTCATCGCATCCTGCGGATACAGCATAGTATCGCACGAGCGCCTCTTCAGGGCCGGAGATTCCGGGAACCGAGTTGGCAAGCATCGAAGCAACTTTTGACCGGCGAGTTGTGCGTGAAGGCATGGCACGGCGGCGGGATTGCGATCTCGCAGCATCGCGAATTCGCTCCCGTTTCGAGAGTTCCACGATGACTCTCTCTAGATGGGTATGGTTGTGAGACGTGTGCAACCATTGCGGAATGGCGCTCATGGCTGAGTAGGATGTTTAGCGGTGAACTGAGTGCAAGTGTTGTGAGTGGTTAAATAACGATCGCAAGCACAAAAGGTCCTCGTCCACACAAAGGTTTGGTGGATCCGATGTCGTCATCGATTCATATCTTCTTGTATTTGCATCGCCACGACAACCGCTTTACAGCATCCAACATGAAAGATGAAAAAGGTCTAACGGACTTGATCACCCCGGATACCCGCATCAAGTCAGTGGTTTCCGAAGTACTGTGAACCCTTGGCAACGCCTACTCGTGATGACAGGGTCAGCTCAACGCTCGACAAGTCCGTGGGGAAGATATACCTGACCGACGGAAGCCCAGAAACGTGCTGGACCTCCCGAGAGGCAAGTGCAACTGATCCATTGAAGGTTACTTACTCATGCCTCCTCAGGGTTCGTCGCAATACATCCAACTTACTTTCTCGTCGCCCGTCCGCCCCAAACGGATCGTACTCACCTTTCAAGGAGGCTTCGTTGGAAAGACATGCATTATTGAAGCGCTCCCTAGCACTGGTACAGAAGGAGATCGATTGCTGCCAGTCGCGCGGATTTATCCTGAAGATGTCAACCGCGAACAAGCATTCGAACTACCGGAAAATATCGACATATCAGGCTCCGGAGTCTCGCAGATCAAACTGACTTTCGAAGAGAGCTCCGACTTCTTCGGTAGAGTGACTGTTTACAATTTACGAATACAAGGCGATGTCTTGTAGCTCGTTATCTGCATATCAAGCAAACACCTTTGTGCACTTGGCAGAGGGCTTAACTGCTGTCACTGGTTAATGCGATGAGGACGAAGGTCAGCTTGACGCTCGGACGAGCCGCCTGTCCCACCATTACACTGGGGTGTGAATGAACGCGAGCTAGGGAAGGCGCGCGCACCGCGCATACGAAGACGGACCGGGCAACCCCTGCTATGCCGCAAGACAGAATTCCCAGGTCCTGTCCTCGCCACCTTGCCCCGTGGTCCCGGCGCCATTGGCCCGTTCTCCCTTCGTCATACGGTGTTCGTATCCCTTCCAGGCGCTCCTATGAAATAAGAATGAGCGAACTTGCGTATATTGAGGGTTGTCTGGCGCTGATGCAGGCGGATGCTTGGCCAATTTCGGCACATCCCTAGGTAAAGCTCATCAGCGGATGAAACCCCGTGTCTACTAAGACACACACCATAGGGTATACGGCGTTACGTTCCGTAGCGTGATTAGCAACGTTCCTCTATACCCTGCGGTACGTTGCTGTGTCCCTTCTTCCCCAATAGGTTCAATATCGCCTTCGTCGTCGCTATCTTCGCTTGTTTTCTGCTTCTTTCGAGCGGTTGGGCTCAAGGGAACAGGTCCTGGACGAAGGAAAGCGGATGCTGACCGCAAGAATCCTAGGATGAGTAGCTGATTTGATAGTATGTTTCTATCTTGATCAGAAATCCCGCTGCCTATAGATGACATCGGCCTTCAGCATCGCGTCACTCAGTCGGCATACTCACCCGCATGAGGGAAGTTCCATACGATCCTGTCATATTGGCGACCCCGGAGTTTGCTAGCTTTTTCTAACCTCGTGGCATCCACCCCAAATAGCACCTCCACACCTGCTTGTCGTAAGCCAGCGACGATTTCCTTGGCATCTGTGTACTTGTTGTAACAGTCTTCTTCAGAATCATACGCGGTCGCTGTTATATTGCCAGGGGGTAGGTAGTTCAACGGATCCGACGAGCTAGATGGTTCGGAATACGTGACAGGCGTATGGAGTGCTAGAGCGCGCGTGAACGAGAAATTCCCTTCCCCAACAAGGAGTATCCTATCCGTCGGAGAGAATGGCACGGTCACCCTGGGCGGATGCGCTTTGCCCTTCCCTTTTGCTTTCTGCCGCCCGATGGAAATATTCTTCTGTTCTGCAGCCTTGCGAGAACGCTCTGCCTTTTGGTTCTTCTTTAACCGCGACTGCTGAGAGATGAGGGCCGCCTTGAGGCCTTTTTTGCTCGGCTTTGGCATGATGGGTGTGTGCGAAGGCAAAACACGCGATCCAGCAGAGGCTGTGCTTTCCACAGATTCGATCGGGAGGCGCGTGCGTGGGCGCAGTGCCACGTCTCGAGTAGCAGATCATAACATTCCTTGTCTTGCAACACAGACTCTTCAATAGCTCCTGTCGCTCCTTTCGCCCTCTACTATGGTTAGAGAAGACACAATCTTTGGCTATCTGCTCGCTAACCATTGGCGATCGACTCTTGTAGCCCACCGAATTCGAGAGGAGACAGAAGAATCAGCAGTTCGCCAACGCTGCTCGTGCTGGCAAGAAGCCGGTACATGCATCTCGGCGAGACCAGCTTGCAAAGCGGAGCCCTGTTAGTCTAACAGCGCTAGCCGTTGTCGTCTTTGTTGTATGCGGAGGAGGTGCGCACCCTATAGCAAGATACGAGGCAGTACTGTACTGACTAGTATATGTCACAGTTCTGTTCGAGCTGGCACGATACATCTTCTTATGAGCGTTGCTCTTGCGACCGCCTTGCGACTGTGCTCAAAAGGCCCACGGCGGCCCTTCGGCATTGTATTACTACCATGATATATATCGCTTTCTTCGCTTTCGTTCAGTACACCGGAAAGCGGGATGGGCGGCCGTAGAAGGCTGCTTGATATACTGATTCGTACGCAACCCTACGAGTAAAATCCACACCGAGGACTGCCTGCTCTATGAATAGGTCTGCAACCGTGCTCGCGAGCGTGCGGTCAATGATATCTTCGGGATTTGCTACAGTGAATTACGACCGCGAATACGATGGAACAAGCCGCAGCATCGGAAATGTGTGCTGGAGAAGAAAAGTAGAGCGTCAATCTCAAAGAAGCTCGAGGAATGACATGCTCGAAGGGGAATCGCGAGGTCAGAGAACGAACAGGTTGGAAGGTAAGGTGGTAAACACGCCGCAGGGGGTGAACACCGCGCACTGAAAGGAAGTGTGGGCGGTGGTCGGTTCAGGAGCATGAACGATGATCGTAGGCGACAGTCATTATCCGTGCCCATTTCCTTCCACTCCAGCGGGAGCGAACGCACATGACAGATATTTTGAGCTTGTATATAGCCATGTCGGATCGAGCGCTGAAGCGCCCGTGAACGAAGTTGCGCGTCATTTTGAGGTAAGCCGTTTGAAGCGATGCCGTCGTTGACTGGGTTGCTGAAACATGATGGAGCTTAGCCGAGTCAACACGAAAGTGTGATACGATGCGAACCTTCGATAGTCTGCGACCGACGATAGGCATTGTCTTCAAGCAACGCCGCTTCGCCAGTGCTCCTGGGGGACCGCAGCGGAGCCAGCGGGCAGACCGTAGGAGGTGGGCGTATATGCAGCGGCGTAGCCCTTCTGACTTTGAGATGGGCGTTTCTCGCCCACGGGTTGCTCCGTGCAGTTCGCAACGTCTGGAGTGTTGGGAGAACGTCGGCCGAGGATAAAGAAGAAGTTCCGCTTGGAAGCTCTGGGCTTTGGCGAGGTTTGGCGCTCAGGCTGAGGCGTCGGTGCGTGTCCGGCAAAACCGTAGCTGGTTTGGAGGGCGCCGAAGGCAGCGGAGTAGTCCTTGGTCCCTTTGACTTTGGGGATAGTGGCGGAAATGAGAGTGTTCACCGACGAAGCGGGTGACGAGAGGCGATCGTAAGGCGCCTTCGCGATGGCGGACCTGTTGCAAGTCTGCAGAGAGGTCTGGGTGAAGACCTTGACGGTGTCGACGGGATACAGGACGGTGGTGTTCATGGGCATAGCTGATGAAGTTATGGGTTGGGGAATGGTACTAGCGGCTGATTGACGGCTGCGGTGAGGATTGCTCGTTGAACGACCTATACATGGCGGGCACCAGTTTATATAAGGATTTGGTTGAAGTCGGTCTGTCTTAGACCATTCTGCACGCGCAGCAGGGCCGTCAAGCACGGTTCGCGCACCCGCAGAGTGACTCTGCGCACGGAACCGCAGCAAGCATGATCAAGTAAGTGGGCGTACCACTGAAAATCTGTGTTTCCCGCGCCGATGACGGCGGAGAAGCACGCGCCCAGCCAATCAGAGCCGGAGAAACGGAGGCCGATCGCCCAGGGGTTGGTGGCTGCGCAGTGGCTGCGCTTGCGACGTTCCAGGCTTCCGAAGTCGTTCGTGACTCGTCAAGCAAGTCAGGCCAAAGTCAGGCAAGCACGCAGTCATCTTCGCAGCCGTGTCTCGCGCAGAATTCAGACACCGCCGATATAGCAACCCAGCGCCCATAGAAATGGCTGTACGCTATCGTAACTGCCGTCCAAGTCGAATATCAACTCCGGAGAACTACACCCACCGGTGTAACAGCAATGACGAACTGAGGGCTTCCATGCGGAGATACGCTCACGATATACGTGCCAACCACGTACGGGTCAACCCCATTGGAAAGGAGACCTTGCTATACCCAGCATTGCTGTAGCTCGCATCTTTGTCCGGGATTTGTTGGATCCATAACAATACGCGGTTCCCGAAGTCTCGATCTCGGTAGACACGATGATCACGTGACGGTATCGGATCTAGAAAGCGCGTAGGATCGTATAAGTACTCGGGGATTAAATGTGCCGTGCCCTGTCTTATACGGTTAGAAATACCGTTACAGCTTGGTTACAGCTGTTCCGGATGATAACGAGAAAGTCGCCTCGTTTTTTGCGCGACGCGGCTCGATGCTCCTTCCTAATCGAGCATTGTCCCAATTCCAATATGGGCAAGTCATGCCATCACGATGAGTATGTACATATGCTAGAGGCTCATATCATTCTTATCACCCACTGGTATCACGAACAAGGCGCCATAGATATGCATACAGCTTTGTATACGGGCAAACGAGGTGCTGTAGACATGCATGAAGCGCGAACATCGTATCTTCCCAATTAGACAATGGCTTGGACGGAGAGAAAAAAACGACGCGACTTTCTCATTAAGTATCATCCGGAACAGCTGTAACGTGTGCATGGCAATCGGCGGGGCCGTTCGCCGTAGATAACGTTCAATAAGCATGGTCGTATGCATCTTGTTGGCAGGTTCCTATAGCTCCGTACGGCATCGAGGCTCGTGCCGAATCCAATACGAGGTTGTCATTAGGATGTATTCTATGTTACTATGTAGAAAGAGTGGTTGGATATGGCGTCTCAGTCGATGGTTTGAGAACACATAGAATCTACAACGCACTGGCAATGCAACGATCACAGGGTTTTCGACATTTCCTCCTTCTGACCCTCCTCCAAGCTCTTCTTTAAGCCCTCGAGCGTCCTGGCCAGCTTTCCTCCGCTGGCCTCGCTCAACACCATCGCGAGCTGCGTCGCCGGCGCACTCAGCAGCCCCACAATTTGTGCCCTCAGCGTGCTTAACGTGGGAAGCTTTGAAACCTCGTCGAGCCCTTTCGTCGAGAATACCCGCCCCTCTATGAGCGCGCCCATAACCGACAACTGTGGTGGTAAATCATCTCGAACGCGTTTCAGCCGCCGGCCAGGCGTGGCAGGGTCCGCATTTTTGGCTGCCTCCTCTGCAGCAAGCTCCTGTGGTGTCTTGGGCTTTTTGGGTGGGACTGCGCGCTCTAGCGTGCGGAGAACGGCGTTCATTTGCGGAGGATGGAATGTGGGGAAGGAGAGGACAGCAAAGGGTCCTTTGACATTCTGAGCTATGTCCTTGCATGCTTCGACGTCCGCAGGCGCCACGTCTCGTAGCGCAACACCGAATATAGCCGCTCGCATGACAGTGAGCTTGGGCAGTTGAGGCTCTGGAGGCGGCGGTTGCGCTCCCTTTCCCTTTGCGTGGGCAGGCGCAGGTAGTGTGGGTGGGGCGAATTTTCTTCCCGTCTCGGTGATTTGTCGACGCAGTTCAGTGAGTCGCTGGGGTTTGAAGTCCGCGTGGTGTAAGAATATGATGGGCGAGCCGGCGTTGTCTTTGAGAAAGCGAGAGTATTGGTTGTACAGGAAAGTTTTGTCCGTCGGGTAGGAGCGGCCGACCTGGCCGTGCCAGAGCACGGGAGGGTCGAGGTTCATGGCGTACCCCCTGCTTTGCCATTGCAGTACGCAGGGTCGCGTTCGGCGCGAGACAGACCCAAGTTGCGTGGCAAGTGCAGAGGCCATCCGTAGTAGTGTCACAAAGAAAAGCGACCACGCGCGCCAGCCACCACCGCGTTCCTGAGCTTGCCCCTTCCCTCAACTTCGTGCACTTCGCCCAGCACTCGAAGCCATGTAAGTGCTTGCGCTGTGATTTGCACACCTTCGTTGCTGAAAGGATTGGCGAACGAAGGGATGACGATGATGACTTCCTTTACGGCGGACAAAACCCAGAGGCAGAGTTGAGTGTGACTATCGCCGTTCCACCATCCGGTAAGACATCCCATCGCGATTACCATGCGCAAACTGTACACTATATGTTACACGGAGCAATCACACACTCATGCACTATTTCGGACAACGTAAACAGAGCCCACGCCGTGAGTGTGAATCACAGGGCAGCTCACGCGAGGTCTTACCAACGTCCGCACAGAATATCGGTGGACAAACTTCCTTCCCCAGGTTCCAATGGCCTTGTTGCTCAGCTGGAGGCGAAAGCAGAAGAAGAGACAACGGCGCCAGAAGTCAGCGAGAATGGCGATGAAGACGAGGAGAGTGACGAAGACGTACGTTAACGACGCATTTGCCACGAATCGAGACCTGAGAACTGCGATATGAAGGACATTGAGATCATAACAGAACCTCGTCCCCTATCAATCGACTTTCGGTGCGCTCTATGCCCTTCTGCGGCCATTACTATTTTCACCTTCTATCAGGCAAAACCGTCCAGCTACGGTCCGCCAGGGCAGTACAGGACACGTTTCCACTCCGACGAAACGTATGTTTTTCGATGATGCGAAATGGCGACTTCACTGAAGGGAAAGGTAGCGCAAGGGCCGTCGCTCACCACTGAATACACACCTCGAGAACGAGGCGCGGTTGCCCCCAAAACCTCTACCCCTCAACCCTCTCCATCCAAGCCTGCCGCCCCGGGGCTTGCTGCCGGGGCGCAAACGGTGGATATAGCGCCAAGTGCGGAAGATTCGAAACCTGAGAACGAGGGTCCTGACCCGTCCACACTCCCACCCGTCACTGCGCCGGCTTCGCATCCAAAGATAGACCCTACCGCAACGGGTACTATTGATGGGCGATCGGTGTACGAGGTCGATCTTAGCAACCTTGCCGACAAACCATGGAGAAGACCAGGCTCGGATATCTCGGACTGGTTCAACTATGGTTTTGACGAGATTTCGTGGGAGGCGTACTGCTTCAGACGACGGGAGCTGGGAGATCTTGCAACAGTCCTCAAAACGAACGTCATCGTAAGCATGGTCGTTCGGGATACCTCACGATCCTGATTGGTTGTGTCGTAGAACTTTGCCGGCATGCCCGAAGAACAGCTCATCGCGCTTCCACCTGAAATCCGACAAATGGTGATGGCCAGCGCGAACACCCTCATGTCCGGTGGGGGCAATCCTGGTATGATTCCTATGATGGACATGTCGCAGATGCAACAAATGGGCATGATGGGCATGAATGGCATGGATGGTAATATGATGGGACAGGGCGGCCCAGGTATGCCTATGGGCCAGGCAGGCATGATGCAGGATGGCTCTGGCCCGAATGACGGAAGCATGATGAATATGCAGGACGGCTTCGGGCCAGGGGGCGGAGCGAATATGATGAACATGGGCATGGGGGATGGCTATGCGATGCAGGTCTGCGTTTCGGTTGTCTCGGAAAGTTCCGCTCACAAACTATGGCTCGCTATCCAGGATCCTGCCGTCATGCAACAGGGTATGCAACAGGGTATGCAACAGGGTATGCAACAGGGTATGAATCAAGGCATGAACCAGGGCATGAACCAAGGGATGTATACTGGCATGGAAGGCAGTCCAGCACCTATACCGACACCTATTCCGGGGGGCCGTGGAGCGCCCTTCCGAGCACGCGGCCAAAATCTGGGCAGCATGCGTGGCAACCGCGGTGGATACATGGGACGTGGACGAGGTAAACCGCACCCGAATTGTTGATGTTTTCCACTGTTGATCACCCCGAATGCAGGCGGTCCCCCACTTCCTGCGCGATCTACTTCACCATTGCCTCCCAATGTGCCCACAGGACCTCGAAATCAAAATAAATATAAGGACCGGGATAACAATGGTCCTGCTGTAGAGGGACTGGACTACGGTGGTGGAAAGGATTTGGGCGACAGAGACGACGACCGGACGGGTGGCAGGTGAGGTTCTTCCAAGTCTTCGCGGCCGACAACTCAACGCCGAATGGATGTAGGAAGCGACGAGGGTCGCCTGATTATGGCGATGATTCGCGAGGCTCGAAGCGTCGCTGATCGCGCTTTGATACTATCTTAGCTGTGTCTTTATTCGAGGTGTTATATTACGTGCTCAGCCTTGCTCAGCATTCTGCTCCTGACGAATCGAACCGAACAACGCGCGTAGCTCGGATGAAAGTAGTTGCGCCTTACCACGTTTGCGCATACTTACACCACTTGTTCGATGCCATGTGGGGAACTTTGTGGACATAGAGCACGGCTTCGAACGCCTCTACAGAGCAACATTCTACGCATGTAACGGCTGATTGACCGGAATGGGAGAAACGAAACTTTGCCATCACAACGCCCGATTCCTATCAATCTCCTACGGCGTTATTTCCGTACACGCCGGTACGGCTGCTAGGTGGAGCGTATGGATATCATGATGCCCAATCAGTAGTGACTTCCAAGGCGCAGTATCGTACATAAACACCGGAACATCTCAAATGGTATAAAAGGGTCGATTGCCATCCCCCGAGTGATATTCCGCCTTCACCATCCAATGATGATCTCCAAGCAATTCATCGGCTTTATTGTGGTAGTTGTTGCCTTGGCGGGAGCTGCTATCGCGTGAGTGTCATTGGGGACCGTCGTTTTATGTTTTTATGATGCCAATAAACGCCATATAGTGGTCCCGCACCAGCTCCCCTCGACGCTCGCATGTGCGAATGCGTTGACGAGAATGGTAAACCATGTTGTGCGTAGAACGTGCGTCTGTCCTTGATATTTAGTATAATCGGGGATCATATTCATGCCCATGTTCAGGCAAGGACTCTTGATCAGTACTGGCGGGCGCAATGGCAAACAATTGAGTAGCTGCCAACTCCGGACTTACCGGGGTTGTTGCCTTCGTTATCCTGTTCAAATAGAGCATCCGCGCCTCTGCAGTCTCGTATCCATGCTTTTTCCGCAGTGAGCCCCACAACGAAGTCATAACATACCAGCGAGCACCACTTTTCCGCGGGTTGAAGGCAGGGTATGTAGTAACCGCAGCTGAAGCGTCGCGTAGCTGAAGTGAGTCATGCTCTGCAACACCTTCGTTTGTCAGAATTGTGCCGCCCCATGTACTGTGCAGGTTGTATGCTGCCTAGCACTGCTTGTGAGGCGCGTGAAACGACTGCGAATCGGCAGAGCGACCCGAACGTTCTGGTGGAAGTGCGGATACTACTCGCCGTCGTTTCCTTATGCTGGTACGTACCAGTACCATACTTTACGACTATACTACTTACAGGGGCTCAAGAGCCGTTAACTCCGGAAGTAGTCCAGGTAGGTAGGTAGGTAGGTAGGTAGGTAGATTGCCGACGAGATCCCGGTAGCGGAACAGCCGGTTGCTGCGCTGTACGTACGCACTCGTACGGTCGACAGCGTGCCAGGCAGCTCAACGGTTTTCGTGAGCTGTTGAAGCCGACCACATTGTCTCACCACCGAAAAGCCCTACATACATGTGTCCAGAAGTCGCTTTATTAGTTACAGGGTTATGGCGAGGACTTGATTGGTGAGAAATAGGTTCTCGAGGATACCAGAGCAGAACTTTCCATCACCGTCGCTGACGGTCTGACTAGTACGGCCATTCGGAGCTCAGTGGGCTCATGTTAAACGGGATTTACGATCTGTAGATGCCGCCGGAAACGCCGTGACCGTGTCCGCAGTATTCTTCGATGAGTGCACAGCCCCATTCTAGCCGTCGGGTGCATGAGCTGGGCTGTTCCGCGAGTGCCCTGGTTCGGACAAGGATCCGGTAGGTAGGTAGGTAGGTATATTTCCGGCGCGGTCCCAATAGCGGAACAACCGGTTGCCGTACCGGGAGAAAGTGATGATCAGTCACGAGGACGCAGCCACACGTAGGGAGTGGCTATGCAGCTGTGTGTGGGCCAGTGTTGTGGTTCACTTCCTCAGGCCTCAGGCTTCGGCCGTCTTGACGATGTTGAGGTGCTTTTCTACCATCCTGCTCACGAACGACCGCAACGCACTCGTAGCTAATTGGTGTGACTATGCTGAACTATATTGGCTTCAAGTAGATCATGTACTGGCAACATCGCTTTTCCGAGTCATCGTTCGTCACGGTCGGTGCATTGCTTAGCAATACAGCAAGACACGGGCATATCAACTGTATTCTCGCAATAAAACCTGAGGAGGCTTGGACGAAGCCCCATGGGCATGGTCAAGAATACGTGCTTCACGCTCTGTGCTGCGACTGTAGTTGCGGACCCTATCAGTATCGAGCGCGTTTTTGAGCCGTTAGCTATTCGGCCGGGCGGTCTCTTCTCCACATCAATACCAACTACTGTCTTTCAGCGAGTCTGGATCGCGGCATACGGCACCAATCAAGTATCAAGTCCTGAGGCTCGTCGGTACTACCCTCAAATATACCATGACGTTTCAGCAGACGATGGCAGTGCTTGACGAGATCAACGGAACTATGGACCTCAACTCCCGCAGGCTCCCCCGCTTCCCCGTCATCTATGCCACTGACCGCACTGAGACAAGCTGATGCTGTCCCTCCATGCTCTGCTCCATCGATGGGAACCCACATCGGTGTGATTCGTGTCCGGGAAAACCTTTCTTGTCTGCTTGGGTCACTGTACAGCCTACTGCCTTCGTTAGGATCACTTATTCGAGGCTGGATGAGGAAGCCCTCACGACTCAACGGCCTTCCGATAACTATGATGATCTTGTTCGACGGTCTAAGCGAAGCTGGATAACCAGGCGTTCTCGGCTCATTCGCTCAGATTATTTGCATACAGTCAGTCATGACTCGGTGTTCTGCTGCTGCACGATCATACCGCAGGAGTCCCATCTCATGCACTCACTGCCTGCTGTTGCTACGATAGCATTGCCACTCACGGTCTTAGTGCTCTAAACCTAGGTTCCCAGTGGCAATACATGACTCAGTGGACGACGGATAAAAGGCCCTATGCAAGACTTGGACCAGCACAAGCACACCACGCCTTTAACTTGGTCCCGCGTCCGCAACAATACTCCCCAATAAGATTTATTGGACGAAGATTAAAAATCCCTACCCACGATTAGATTCACCACGAGCCTTGGACGTCTTCTTTCTTCCTTAGATCATATTTATCGCCAGAATGCTCGCCTTCAAGCAATTGCTTCTCGTCAAAATTGTCATCGCTTTTTGCATCTTTGATACCCTCGCGTGAGTGACCTTGCTCGTCCAGGGCTTGTGCTCTTCTCAACCTCCCGCTTTATAGACGACCGACGCGTTTCGGGCATACCCATGCAACGAGCCCTGAGATCTGCCGCCGATGCCTTGACCAGCGAGACTTCGAGATACGCTCGGCTGAGACGCCTTGTTGCTAGAACTCAACCCTGCATCAGGTCAGCGTTCTGTGACCGCTCTCGCGACGTACGCTGACCGTCAATTCATTACCCTTGCCTAGCCTCACTCCGAGCCATTTTTCATCGCACTTCATGGAACGCAACCACCGTTTGTTATTTATGCTAGATTAGTTTTCCCTATTTTAGTCGCTGGAGGATAATATCAATCACGATGAAGTTGGTGATACAGACCGTAGCCGTCCTGTACATACAGACACCAATCGAAATCGCATTCTGTAGGTATAGGCTAGCAAGGAAAACGCTCCGCAAGGCATCTGTTCCGCACAATGCTTCATTCACCCTCGGCCCTGCGTTTCCCTCCCCTTTCGTCACCGTCAACCTCCACATCCATCGCATCTGTCTCGAGTTCCTTGGGCTCAATCTCCACTTGGTCCGCGGCCCATATGCGCATTGTGGGTTGCCATACCATCAGCACGTTGTCCTCAGACGTGCTAGCGGCTGTCCAGCTCTCCGATTCGGCTGGAGCCCAGCAGAAGTCTGTCGGACGAGAAGTGTGACCTATAACATGATGTCCAACGTCAGAATAGATGAGGGCATGACACAAGCGTTATAAGAAGCGCTGTTCGACGCACCACCATGAATGAACAACAGTTCGGGCGGTCCGTCTTCTTGGTCGTCCGGCGTTTGTTCAACGCCAATTTGCGCAAGATCCCAGACATTGATCCGGCGATCGCTTGATGCGGAGGCGAAGACGGTCGAATTATGAGGCGACCAAGCGAGATGCAGCACTTCATCCGTGTGCGATTCAAATGTATGCAAGCGCTTTCCAAGAGTGCGCAGGTCGTGAAGAGCGATTGTCTGTAAACGTGTCAAAAAGCAGGATCATCGTAATGAAGAGATCCAATTACCTTATCGGCGCTTCCAGTAATCAACAGACTATCGGTGGCTGGGCTACAAGCAACGGACAGTATCTCCCGTTCGTGAGCCTCACTTTTAAGAGAAGGTTCTGTCGGAGTCCTAGTGTCCCAGCTGCGTCAAGAAGTCAGCGATATGCGAGTGATGATGGCGATTGGCAGACGAACACCATTAGCATTTTGTCGTCTCCAACGCTGACAAATACGTTTTCCTGTTGCGCATGCCAGTCTACATCCTGGGATACGTGAGTAGCGTCAAGCATCGAGGCGATGCGCGCTTACTCCAACGACAGCTGTGTGCCCTTTATAAACAGCAACAGGTTCAATGGTTGCTTTGGCTTTCGTGTAGGAATTGACATCCCTATAATAAACGTTGTGAGCCAAATGTGTTCCATAAAAACAAGTATGCGATTCACCAATGGCAAATGGTCTGATCCTCCGATGCTCCGAGGACGTGGCCGGCCGTCAACGGATTCCAGGCCAGCCCATAGCCTTCTTTTGCTTGACCAACCAACCGGATATCGGGTTTGCAGGCGCCGCTCTGATCCGGATCGCTGGGATGCTTCGTGCGGTCGAACACCAAGACTTCGCCGCTGACCGCTTTCGTAGCCAGAAGGTCCGGGTTTTGCGGCATATAGCGGGCCCGGTTGACTTCTCCGTCGTGATTGATCCGCTGGATGATTTGCACACGCGGTGCAGGGGGTAGCGAATGACCACCCAGCTCGCCACGATCATCATCGTAAGAGGCTCGGTCGAGCTTGTCCGATCCAGGTCCGGTGCGATTCGGGATTTGAACTTGTGCGATTTGAAGATAGTCCTGCGCCTGTCCAGATGTATGGGTCCCTAGCAGAAGACGATGGGTCGTGTACGGTTTGTGGGCATGGCTGCTGGCCAGTCAGACACGCCACTTTGGATAAAGGCCGGGAGAACGTACGCTTCTCGGTCAGGGAACCACTGGCAGGTCAAGGTAGGCCATTGGAGGGCGTGTGTGATGACGAGGTCGTAGAGATACGGTGTATTTTTCTTCCTTTCGTTTGCAGCGTCAGTCAAGCGACGCGCCCCTCTGTCTCGCTATGCTCACCATGTTTTGTATTCCTGTCCATAGGTGAGCAGGACGTTGCGGAGAACATCGGGCAACCCACCTCGTTGATGATTTTGTTCTCCTCCTCGGCTGCGAGGTCATCGTCTACCTCTTCGTGTACGGTTGGCTTCATCGGGAATGGGACAGTCGCAGTCGAAGTTGGAGGGCGCCGTCGCGTCCAGAGGACATCTAACGGCACGTGATGGCCGCCCTCCACACTTGCAGACGGGAAATGCGACCAGTCGAAGTCCAGTGGTCCTCGTCTGCCTGTCGAGAACGTCCTTCACGGCGCGATGCCCCCTCGTCCACCCGCCGCACCGGCCCTGCCCACCGCCGTCGCCACCGCCTACTCCCTCGCCCTCCTGCAGGAGTACACACACACGCTCGACGCACTTCCCCTCGACCTCTCCCGCAACTTCGCCGACCTCCGCGAACTCGACGCCGTCCTCTCTGCCTCCGTCCACTCTATCACCTCGAAGATTGAGCGCCTCACAACTATCATCGAACAAGATCACAATCCGGACCGTAAGGACGAGCGTCTATGGCTCCTCGCTGAGATCGCCGAGGAGGCAAGCCGACTTAAACCCGGAGGCGAGGACAAAATCCGCGTCGCTTGCCAGGCCGCCGACAACCTCCAGACGCACGAGGCCCATCTCACCACGCTGCTCGAAAACGTACCCTCCCCCGACTTTGAGACCGCCGTGATCAGCAGGAATACCGTCTATCCGCACGTCGCGGCTCGCCAGTACACCATGCAGGGCAACACTCAGGAGGGGAGACGTCGCCGAGCCGCCCTTGCAGGGCAAGCTTACGGCGGCCAGGAAAGCCCTGCGAAACGCAAAAGAGCGACACCCCGAGAAGAGGACAACGACGCTGCGGCCTATGGTCGTGCCCCGCGCAAAGAGCAGCGCGTTCTCGAGGGGCACGCGCCGACGCGACAACCTCGCGCGGCTGCTCGCGTGAAGAAGTAAGATCTCGATCGAAGAGTCGCTCTTTATCGCTGATCAATCACTCCAGGTCTGATCGCGCCGCCTCACCAGCGGAGTCTCTCCTCTCTATTGCCTCCCACATCCCTCAGGCTCGTACCGCCGCCGGACATGCCTCTGTCATTGGGACCAAACGGGAAGGTAGCAATGCTTCGGGGACACGGCGTGGGCGGAACTCCAACGTTGGCACTCCCATCACACAAGAAGCTTTCGTTGTGCCTAACCCTCGTGCGGAGCAGCCACCGTCTGCATCCACCTCGCATCCCTCATTGCCAGCACCATTGGCTAATCAGTCCTACGCAAGCGCAGCTCAGGGATGGGCACGTGGACCGTTGGAAGGTCCAGGTGTCGTACGCGATATCAGCCTCCCTCCTCCTGGGGCAGAGGATAGTGCGGTCGAAGGGGATGAAGAGGAGCCGGACACGCAACTATGGTGTGTTTGTAACAGAGGGAGCTTCGGGCAGATGATTGGGTGCGACAGCAAGACCTGTCAATATTCATGGGTGAGCGCTCCCGTGACACCCTCGAAAGACCATAAACTGACGGGAGCATGCTTTCCAAAGTTCCATCTGGAGTGTCTGCAGATGACCAAAATCCCGGAAGAACAGACCGAATGGATCTGCCCTTATTGCGAAGAAAAGGCTGCGAAGAAGCCTCGTGGAGGAGCGCGAGGTGGAAAGCGGCGCGGTGGGAGCGGCGCAAGTCGAGCCAAATCTACGCAAAACCAGAACAAAGCCCCGGTCGCAGCGAAACCGTAAGGTTGTTTATCATCTTGCACGATGTTGCCCACTGTCTATCGTCGATGTCATCCACCTATTGCTCAATGCAGCATGTCCTGAATCTTCGTCTGCGCATGACGGTGACTCTATTTGCGTTCCGTCAGGAGCGAATAATAATCCAGCTCTCTCCCTGTATCATCGCCACGCATATTGTATCCACCGTTGATTTTAGTGCCAGTTCAAGCATTTTTGACTGTTTTGACTGTTTCAAGTGCCGACTACACTTGACGTTTCAACATGCAGTGGTATAAGAAGCCAACACCCAACGAGCTGCCGGACCTGTGCATCTGCTATCAACACTCTATTCACTCAGACATGCCACGACAGATTGCAGGGAGGGTACTCGTTTTGGCGTTCATCTTTTCGCTCACTTCGGCCTCTATACTGAAGTACGCTCGAACGAGCGCAGACAACATCGTTTCAATCCAGGATGAACACAAATACTGGTACGTCTTCCCTCGTCGACAAAACGACACGTTAGCTTCCTTACATATGTCGTAGCATGATTATGCCACGAGATGCGCACACAAACATCGGCGACTCCGAGTACCCAGGGGGGGAGAAAACGTTCTGCTCTGATGCTGCAAGGACATCAGATAAGCAGGGCCGGTTACCGGACAACTTTTGGAGAAGCGTGGAACACAAGACGGCTCACGGCGCAGGGAAGTACACTCAGCGTGAGTATCCTGCACATGAATACCGGAATATTATGATAACAAAATCATCCAGTGACTGGTTGCATCAGGGTCGAGTCGACACCGCAATTGAACGCCGATGACTACGGTGGACAGTACGACAGCAGCGGCGGTCCGAAAGGACAGGGCAATCCGGTAGGAAGTGTATGCAGTGGGTGCGTCGTCTTGCCCGCTTTCGCTGTTCTTCGCGTCATGCAGATCCCCACACAGCTACAACCATTATGTCGAACTGGTGGAGCCAGCTGCCAACCGGGCATGCATACGATGCTGTAAAGAGGTGATTAGTACGTGCTGCGGATATAATGAACACTACTTACTGGTTGCATCCAGGCTGACGACTGTCCTACGCACATGGGTATGCTCCTGATTTGCTTCATTCTTCTCCTTCTCACTCCAAAAAGATACGGACGGATGCACAAACGTCATACCGGGCAATTATTTCGACTGCTCCTGAGGCCTGAAGGCGAAAGTGTTTGTATCCAGATATCGTGCATGTGGAGGGCAAGCGAAAGTTATTCGATCAATGCAACAGGGGAAACAATTATTAATAGTGCATGAACGACGAGAATGACAGTATGAAGTCTATCGCGCCTCGGCTTCCCACTTGGCGAAGAGCTTCTCGAGGTCGAAGTTGGGGTCCTCCGGATCTGTGACAACTGCAACGTCCATGAGCGACCGTGTCGGATGCCGTGCGCCAGCATTATTGGAAGAGTCACGTACCCCCGCTTCCGCTTTTCTTGCTCTCCTGCTGCTTCTTCCACGCAGCCTTGGCTTCCTTTATTAAGTGTTCCCTGTCGTGAATCGCGTGGTGAATCTTCTCCTCGTCGTGTGCTTTCTGCAGCGTTCGGCGGTGGGCTATGCCGTAGAATATACCGGCAACCAGAGCAGAGTAACGAACGACCTGCAAGAGAGAGAGAGCTTCATGGGTACAACCGGAATGCGGAAACAACCCGTTCGCGTCACGTACGTTAACGGTGGGGGATGTCATAGCGGGCAACGGCCTGTTCCACGATCCTGCGGCGGAGGAGTTTGACCGCGTGCAGACTGAGCCTTGAACCTGTTCATTGAGCAGTAAGATGGGTGAGCATTTGTGGGACGCGAGGTGTAGGCAGCCAGGACGGGACTCACCGTAAGAGTGAAGTGATGTGGAGGAGGAGGTCGGAAACTTCAGGCGCACCTATTACGTAAGGGGATTCATGACACGCTCGTTGTAGACAAGTTGTAGACCTCGATCTCATTCCATGAACATATGCACCGCGCAGTATCAATGACAGCTGGTATCATACTCTGTAGAAAGACTTGGCACACTCGGATTGCACCAGCAAGTGAAGATTGCACCAGAATATACGACATATATGCTACAAAGTGGGTCTAGTTGATACAGTGGTCTCGCTATGGCGATGGCACATATGCGAAGAATAAGGATGCAGATGCGGATGGATCGGTGCGTGTCCAGCAACGCAATGGTTGGGCCCTCTTCTCTTTCCGCCCATGGACCACCAGCTTTCCCTCGAACTCCATTCATCGCGGCAGGTCGCGTTATCACTTCCTCGACGCCAACTTCTTCAGCACACCTCCCGCGGAGGAGTTCTTGCTCCTTGAAGACTGGTTTCCGCCAGAGGAGGCGAAAACGGCGCCCATGGACGTGTACATCGCATGGGCGTCTCGCGGCGATTGTTGAAAGCCCGCGAAGGCATTGGGTGATGTGGGTGATGCGGGCATGTGCGCGTAAACGGAGCCGCCGTTGGTGTAGTTGGACATTATGGTAAACGTATGGTCCGGTGAGATGGAAGACTGTATGTGGAGGATGGCCGTGCAGCAGTGATTCGGCACTCGGTGCGATGCCTCTGATCGTCTGAATGTATGACCACGACTTGGGGTAGATGGGCCCAAGGACGAGTGGGCGGTGGTGGTTGTGGGTGAATGTTGACTGGGGCTAACCGGGCCTTAACGGCGGAGGCGGTATCCAGAGGAAGACCCAACGTGTATAAGTGGAGTGGAGTTGTTGTAGACAGACGAGTGCCTGGAGACTTCCCCGACGGCGGCGACAGGTTTATTATACTCCTCGCCCTTGTCCAAGAGCGCCGTCGTGCTCAGAACGATGAGGTTGCGATGTGCCATGATGGGTACAAGGATGTTGCCGTAAAAGGACGAGCGCTTGTAAGTCGGGGGCTTCCTATGGCCGGCTCTTGTTCCCCGTTTGTGTTGTTCAAGCGAGTCGACGAAAGCAGTAAGGCGGAAGAAGGCTTGGCACGTGGTGGCAGGGCTGGCGGACACGGAGTCGTCGGTGGTGCTCACCGGAGGTTGCAACTTGTAGTCCACACGGGAGTCGCGACTCGCATGCTCCTTGGCCGACCTTACATTGCAAAGTACAGCGATCAGGGAGACGTGCCTCCGATGCAAATCGAACCGCGAGGGAATTGGTAGCGGCTTCCTGTGGCTGTGCACCTATACCATCGGCAGCGCGCTCAAGTGTTATGTAGTGACGTCCACAAGCGTACGTATTACGACCCACGCTCAACACGTTTGTGCCTGCTATGGACCAAGATATTGATATGGAGGCCCCTCACATCTCGGCTCTGCGTGAGGAGGATTCTCCTCCTCCAAACCCGCGCCCTCAGCCGCAAGCGACGTCCAAGTTCAAAGTGAAACTGGTCATGAACGAGCCCAGAGCTCGACATTCGGGAGAGAAACCTCTCGCGGACGATGACGAAGAAGACGACATAGACGAGCTTGTGGACGAGCTTGATGAAGATGGTGCTCCGTCCATGTCAGGCGCGGCTGCTCACGGTCCAGCACCACCGTTTACGACTACGCCGCTCAAGGGAAGGAAGGACAAAATCCCTAAAGCAAAGGCGGAGAAGTCTCGCAAACGCAAGGCAGAAAAAGATCCTTTGCAGCCGACAATGGCAACTTTCGAGTCCACCTTCCCGGTCAGCCCGGCTGACCCTCCCGGGACCATAATCGAAGTAGACCCTAGCGCTCCTATCCAGCATCGCAAGAAGCATACGTCAACCCCGCGAAAGGCTGCAGGTACTGGTCCTCCACGAGCTCGGAAGACGCTGTCCAAGTGCGTTTCGCCCTTTCCGCATTTCATTCTCCAACTGACATCCGTGACAGGGCATCCAGTAACGCACAACTTTCAGTTGATGACCATGGCCATCTAAGTGACGGCGGTAAGCCCAAGTCATAGAATCTCTTTAATAGTCTCATTTCCTAGTAGGATACTCGGGGACGGCTGCGTCGTCTCCCCCGCCGGAATTCCGTGACCGTGACCTCGAGACCATTGATGCTTCCCTGATAAACCCGGACGTTCCTTTCCAGACATCCTCCTCAGCGCCCGTACCCGTCTACCCGTTACCCAACAAGCCATTTCCTGTGCAACCTCCAGTAAAGATTGGTACAGGATTCGCACCTATCCTGCCCCTGGACAAAAGCGGCAAACGCGTCCGACGTTGGCGCCAAGCGAATCGCGAGGTACGCGGAATTGCGGGTGGCCGATGGTTCGCACGTTGCTGGGTTGGAGACAGGGATTCTGCCTTTGCAGAACATCTGGGCGGTCCGTCGAAGACGCCGCAAGCGTTCGTGGACGCAAATGCGACTGCGTTGAGCGCTGTTTCGTTGCCGAAGCTAGCGTCGATCTCCATGTCTGCCGCTAGCCCTGGTGCTGCTGGTACGGGTAGGGGTTCCCGGTCGAAAGGATCTTCGAGGTCAGGTTCTGTCCCCGCTGAGCCTCATTCGAGCGTCGTCCGCGCACCCACGAAGATGCGGACCAGCATAATCGCGTCCACAGACCCTGCAGACGAGGCTTAATCCATATCAGCCGGCTTGCGTGCTTGATCCCGGTGACCACACGTTTGGGTTCGTCGCTGTCTTGATTTTTTTGTATTTCTGCCGATTGTGATCCATGTATTGTGCATCCCTCTGATATTACCTCTTCGTGCCGTACACATTTATCCAACCAAATCGAACGGTTCAATATTAAGTCAGGGGACGTTAGACACCGCCACAAGCTGAGCGTAGCGTCTGCCGCAAGCATTCACGGTTCTGTCCGTCCGAGATCCCGTCGCACGAACGGCTCATCAGCATATGAGTTGAGCTTCTCTCTATGGCGACCACGAGCGTACCGGAGACTGGTAGTACGAAGAAATCACGAGCAATTGCGCTCTCCAGCGAACATGGTTCGTCTCGGACCCATCATGTCGAGGTTGAAACAGTCATTCAAGCGTTTCCCGTGTGCCAGCTAGAATCGTTCAGTCATATGCATCAGATCCCAAGTATAAGAAATATACCCAGCAAGTCGAGAAATGCCTGAACTCCTTCGAGAACGTCCAGGAATGGGCGGATTGCATTGCTTTCCTCAAACAACTGCTAAAGGTAAGTAATGTCGAATACCTCTGGGCGACTGGACCAATTGCTACTGTCAGACGTTTCAAGCATACATGCAATTCAAGGAAATCCCTCGGAAGTTGGTGGTCGCGAAACGCCTATCTCAATGCCTGAATCCGGCTCTACCGACAGGTGTACATCAACGGGCGCTGGATGTATATGCCCATATATTGGCAGTTCTTGGGGCAAGTGATGTTCTTATGTGACGAATGCTCGGCTCATTATCCCAATAGTCGGCGGGACTGCGCCAAGATCTTGCACTTTGGTCTTCGGGGCTGTTTCCCTTCTTTGAATACGCTGCAACATCAGTCAAGGTATATACACTCTTCCATGTTTTACACGGGGAACCTGAACCTCACATTGCGTCGTCCATACCGTCAGCCTAGCCTCCTGAATCTATTTGACACGCACTATCTACCTCTCCAAGAAGGCCTTAGGCCTATCATGAAGGCTTTCATACTCGCTCTCCTCCCAGGCTTGGAAGAAGAGACGAGCGAATTCTTTGAACAAGTACGTTGAGCTAAGCCAGACTAGAGCTCGAAACCTTGACAACAATCAGGTGCTCAGGCTTTTGGACCGTCTATCCGGAACTGTTTCGCCCTCATTCTTCCTCCAGAACGTTTGGCTCGTACTGTTGACGACACCTTCTGCCCGTGGAACCGCATTGAACTTCCTCTCACGCCGACTACCTCGTGTCAAACCAGACGAATGTAAGTTCCAGATTGAAATCTGCTACATATCCTTCATCCAAAACTCGAGATAGCTATATCCCACATAGTTGGGAACGACATCGGTCTGATGATTCGGGCCTTCGCCGCTACGCTCGAAGATGAAAACCTGCTCGTCCGTCGGAGCGCGTTGGATCTTCTCATTCAGTCACTTCGCATGGACAGTATAACTGTGAAGCGTGCTACGCCTGAAGACAAATCGATTCTTATGCGCGCAGCATCTGGCGTAGTTCTCCGGAGGGATCTTTCACTGAACAGAAGGCTATACACCTGGTTACTCGGTTCTGACGATAACTCGGATGCCCAGGTATTGTACTTGCGCGATCACGGGCTTGAATTACTGCGATCGACTTTGAGGGTACGTAGGCATCTGACTCGGCTCTTGCAATACAGTGACTTTTCTCGTAGGAGGACATGTTCTCGCCTTCCGTAGAGTACTCGGAGTCGAGGCCCTTCAAGATACTAATATCTTTGATGGATAAATGGGAAGTGGGCGGCCCGTTGATGGATGCCCTCATATACGACGCCTTCAGAGCAGTAAAGAAATCCGCAGAGCGCGCAAGAGGAGGAGAAGATGTAAGTCTACAAACTGTCAACACGGGTTCTCACTGACGGTTGATATTGCCATTCAGATCACCATGACAGCCAGTACTTTATACGAAGCCGTCGAGCCTCAGGCATTATGGCGACATCTATTACCTCGGGTGTTCGCCGAGATCGTTGGAGATGGACGGGAAAACCAAGTGTGCTAGCTCCATCCGGTATGATACGGCTTGTCAGCTGATCAACTATTGTGTTGTACAGGGCATATCGCTGGCTCGCTTCATCGTTCAGGAATTCCGCCACGATGAAGAAGTGCGGACAGTCCACTTCCCGCTTGTCTCTATGTCCGTTGCACACGTACTCGCGGTGAGCAGATTTCCCTCCCCGAGTATCGAGTATGACCGTACTCACATATTAGGCTCAGTACCGAACAAGTGCGGAACCGCAGACATCACTGACCCAACAACTTCCGGAGGTACTCCGTCTGTTGGAGGACTTGATCTTGAAGATTCCGGTTGCAAACCTACGACATACTCCGGAAGTAAATGCCTCGCCGTATCATGCAGCTTGTGAATTCTACGGCATATCTGCTGCGCTCGAATTGCCTGCACAGGACGTCAATTCTTCCTCTGTCTTCGCCATTATGTTTGGGCATCTGGTGAAAGCCAGTGCTGCCATAGCACGGTTCGTATCATCTGGCCCCTTGCCGACAGCGCAAGCTGTACTAGTCCAGGCCTTGGTTTTGATCGCCAGGATGCTTCAGCATCTTGGCGAAAAATCAGGGGCACCTCTTACTGTACCGTGGCAGCCTGCTGCATGGCTAACAGCCGTGTTGGGCTGCATAGAAGGAGAGGTGAAGAACATGCTCACATCCTGGTAGCTGGTAGTTTGTTTGACCATTGCTATTTGCAGGTTGCAACCTTCGCCATCATCGACCGAGTTGTCACCCTTACTTGCTCCCTTCACCAAAGACAAGATCTCACGCCCAGACTGTCCATTTCTGACCGGAAAGCCACTGAAAGGATTGTTTCCGCTGTCAGTGAATTCAGAACCATCCAGGTTCTTCCGCCCATAGCCCTGACCTTTCTCGCCGCAGTTATGGACATACCTTGATCCCGAATTTGCGGCCTACCATGTTAGAGCCGTCAACCTCATCTGGTCCTTGGAGAGTTTTGGGGCACTCTCGCATGTCGAATCAGTGATTGCCCGGATACTGACCACTTCGGAATCAAGGGATGTGCAGAAGGCCCACCAGGCTTTCGGCGTCTTGTGGCGCCTAACGGGTAAGCTTATTGGCTCGACGAGGGCGCTACGCCGTGTTTACTCACTGAGCTGCAAGATGATGGCTTCCTTCCTGGCTTTAGGCTTAGAGCCCCAATGTTCATTGTTCTGGGTACCTTACGGAGTGATGATCCGACCATGCGTCGGTTAGGTGAGGTATGGATGCGTTGTAGCTTGAGATCTTATGTTCGGTGCGACTGCAGTCCACATCTATACATCGTGAATAGGCTCATATCTTTGCAGCGTTCTCGACCCAATCTTGTTCTCTCTTCTGGACCCCTCTATCCGACGCAGATTAGCGAGCACTACAGTTAACGGCAGAGAACTGCCTACTTATCGATATGAGGACTCGATGGACCAGCGATATATCCACCATCTCCTGGAAATTCTGCTTTCCGTGGTTCGGTTCGGTGGTCAAGGCTTCACCAAAACTACCAGGAGTACCCCGGCCCGACGAACGTCATATCCGGAGCTGGGAAAACGACTAGACAAACGTAGGAAACAGAGACCTTCCGAGATAGCAAGAACTGATTTGCAACCCTAGTCGTGGCTTCCCGCCCTGACGTGAGCTATCTTGACGTTATAGTCGAGGTTCTGCTACGGTACGCCATGGACATGCTGTACGTGGAAATTATCTCATGGTGGAATAGATATATTATGTCAGAACCGTCCGTTGGGGCTACGGGAACCATGGGACCCTACAATGTGACCATCCAGTCCGTTGCGATCGATATATTGCAAGCTCTGGTATCTCGCGGCGAAGTGGATGACATTGCTATCCAGAATATGGAGTCTTCAATCATTGGCAAGCTTTATGTCTCGGTTCACACCCAGCAACTGGATCTGCAGAACAAGTTGCTCCACCTCCTCCACTCTATCATCTCAGCGTCTAATGCCATCACGGATGCACGTTCAAACGAGCAGGTCCGAACTACTGATGGTCAAAATGCACCTAGGAGCACGACTGCGGTCAACCCGCTATTGATCGTAACTCTGGTGGACTCAATATCGACCAGCTCGAATCGGCCTGTTCTACAACACTGGTTCGATTTTATCCTCATGACGATTCCGCAGTTCCAACACCTGTTACAAGCCGCAGTGGGCCCGCTCAACGATTGTGTATGTCGTCAACTCCACGCAACGCTTCAACGATTACAGCGAGTATCATCGGCGTCGACAACCGGCGTTGACATTAGGGTTGCTGTTGACGACGCCGAATTTTCTATGCTTCTGGGTGCCTTGGAACGACTCGTGCTGTTGCACTTGTCACATACGCCGGGATCTATGCAATTTGAGGACGAAAACTTCGCCCCCGACAAGGGAGGGTCCGAGACCAGCGGTGGCATCCTCGGCTATGTATCTACTGTTTTCAGCACGGACCAAACCCACCCCCCACAAGGCGAGCACCTCAATGTATGCGACTTCCTCTGCAGCGGCCGATGAGGATGGCATTGACTTGCGTGTAGGTCAGGTCGGCTAGTTATCACTCTCTAGACGAGGCAGTCCGCGTATTATACGCAACATGTGCATCACTCGAATGGACGGATCCACCAACATGGGACCCCAGAAGCGAAACCCTCAGCGTCATCTATACACGAATTCGGACACGTTGTCGACGTGTCCTGGAACACCTTTTCCGCGCCCATTCGACTGAAGTGCTGGAATCACTCATTCAATGCTGGAGCAAGACTCAACAGGTGCGTGCGTATATTCGGTGGTCAAACATACTTTAAACCAGGATGATTCAGGACACCGGTGGTCGCGATGTGACTTCGTTCGAATTGGTAGATTACTTGGCGTCCAGTGCCCAAACCGTGGTTCACATGATTTGCGAAAGCATCATGATCCGAATATCGACGAGTGCGGATAAGTCAAGGAAACAGGGTGTCAATCCTGAACCGTGAGTTGCGCTGCATCTCCTACCTCCGGATGTGGCTGATGATACTTGACAGATCCGATTCTGCTCTGTTTAGGTTCTTGGAACAGTATATGGTAGGATTGGAGGGACCCTTGGTTGCACAGGTCTGGGGTCGCTTTCAGCAACTGACCAAAGAGGTTCTGGGAAACACCCGAGAGTACAAAGTGCAGACTTTTTCAACACTGCGGTTAGGCTCAGAGCCAGCTGTGAATATATATACGGTGATACTGACCAACCTACAGTTGCTTTAGTGTTTTAGCCTCTAAGTTGACGCAGACGACGGCACTGGAGGATCGCCGTCTTCGCAAGGAACTACAGGTACCTACCTGTGCGTGCATGAAGGTAGGGTTGCTTACTTTCAGCTAGGATACCTTCAGTAGACTCCTCGATGCATGCGTGGGCCTCGCTGGACGAGATCAAGGCGGATGGATTCGCCGTATAAACAAAGAAGCTCTAACAACGAATGGACGGAGCTCGCCCATTCCTGGCGGTGCTGCCCTTCACCGAGGTATCACACTGCTCGATTTACGTATTTCTTCCTCACTAAGTCACCGCAGTGGCTTCAGAGAATAATATGGCTGAGAAGTTAGCGCAAGACAGTCCTATTGCCGTCAGCGTGGATACAGGGCCGGATCTCATATCTCAGGTATGTTAACGACTTCTACTGGTAGACCATTGGCTTATTCTGCCAACAGATTGTTCAGTACATTGCGACCGATGTCTTATCCAACCTACGCGGGTTCTTGATGGATAATGATAAGATAGGCAACGCCTGCAACAACATCGTCTATTACATTGTGAATCCCGCGACGAAAGGCAGATCCAGGTATACTGTCAAAAATTCACATCACGCAACGCTTACCTTGCATTAGGCCCTTCGACGCAGATGATACGGTTGTCAATATCATACATGAGATGACTCGGATTCAAGGTAGCCTGAAAGTCTGGCGCGGACCTGTGATGGAGACACTGGCAGATAATCGCGTGTTCAATTCAACACCGAACGGCGGCGCATGTTGGCAACCGATCGTTGCTGCACTTGTTGATTTCGACAAGACAGCTTTCCCCGAGCTTCTCGGTACGTTATCCTGCCGTGATCGTTGGTCGCTAGTCGAACCTCCATGACAGGCAAGGTTTACACTGCTCCTTCCGCCAACATCTTCGTCAACCGGGAATACGAGATGTTGCTGCAGTCGCTGAATCTACGACGGCTGTCCTACGTTCTTCTTGCGGGAGAAAAAAATCACTTCCTTGCTCAACTGCCTTCCGTGCAAGAGAAGCTGGTGGAGATTTTCCGCAATGTGTCTTCACCAGTGGTGCAGAGTGAAGTGTACCTTTGCGTTCGGGTCCTTCTCTGTCGCCTATCACCGCACAACCTGACCAGCTTTTGGCCTGTCATACTGACTGAACTGGTAAGAGGCTACCTTTGGGTCCGACGTCTATTGACCGGCATCGTTCCAGTACCGTCTCTTCGATCAGCTTAAAGCAAGCGTCCCTGCGGATGGTTCGGAGGAACTTCCCCTGGTTCTGTCTGCGTGCAAGTGTCTCGACCTCCTTCTCACTCTGCAGACCCAGGAGTTTCAGATGTACGATGAGCATTGTATAAACAGGTTGACAGTTCTGACTAGCAAGTTCATAGACATCAATGGATCTTCATCACCGATACGGTGGATGCTGTGTATCGCCCTGATGGATGGTATCCGGATGCGCTATTGGACCAACTAGCTGAAATTGCCGCGGACCTTCCGACTACCGAGTATAGGGTAAGCCCTTTGGCACACAAGCTGTGATTACGCCTGAGCATGCGCATTCACAGGACGCGAGATCCACCCCGCAGACTGTTCCAAGTCCGGGACCAGCGACGGCGATCGATCCGAAGTTGATGCGTCGACCAATGCTTCATAACTTAAGACAGATCGACAGCATTAGGGACTTAGTTCCTTTTTTCTCTAGCGTCAGCATCGCCTCTTATGAGAGCGTGTACGCGAGTTCGGGAACCATCGATTGGCCAGAGGTGGAACGAAGTATCCTAGAGGACATGTTTGATGGTCGATGACGTTGATATACAATATACCCAGCATATCATGTTATCTTTTTCTTCATCATCGCACTGTATCATTTAAACTGATAGCGACCATGCATTCCGGGACGTAAACCAATAATGGTGCTATAGGTACAGATGGATGGTAAATGACAGCCAATGCAAGTGATCAATTAGGAGCACTACGAGTAGTGAGGGTATGAATAAACGATAATAGTGCCAAAACATCCTACCAGGAGAAAATCATGCCTTGAAAGCTCTACACTCCAATGATGCTATAAGAGCGCATCACTTTCTTTGCCTGCAGCCACTAAAGCTCGCCACTCGTGGCGCCATGACAGCATGTCGGAGCGAATGCGTTTGTTACCCAGGACCTTCTCTATCCATGCCAACAGTGCATCTTCATCCTCTGGCACGAAGAAGGACGACAGCAAGGAGAGCACGGTCTCGAAATTTGCAGCACTCGACGTTATGTGATCTACAAGGCCGGAGAACATGAGTGAACAAGAAGCTGCGATTCTGCGCAATGACCAACCTCGGTATACCCAGACAATCGCGACAGCCATGACGATGAAAAGATCAGGCCCCTCCAGAAGAAATACATCCCACAAACGCAACTGCATTTGAAACGGGACAGAATTGGAGAATAGCGTGATGTACCACTTGGTCGCGTAACTGGTAGTTGACACCATATGCCGCTTGAATGCTTCGTATACTCCAGGCATCGTTTGTTGCATCATACGTTCCTGAATATAAATAGCCTCCAGTAATCCAGGAAATCCAGGAGCGAATGTTGAGTGCATGGCGTATGCGTCGTGTAATCGCACAAGCGACGCGTAAACACGTTCCGCGTCGAAGTAGCACAGTAGTGTTGCTGCTATGGGACCCATGCCCTGACAATACCCGCATTCCTGGCAGCGTAAGGAGAAGGAGTGCAAGACATGAAAAAGAGAACGCTGTCTATTACGAATGGTTATCCAAACACGACAAGACGGAAAAACGACGGGACTGACCCAGAACCGTAACGCGTACGAAACATGACATGACCACTGATTGTCCTCGGAACATCCAGGTCAATCTGTACGTCGTATGTCGACGGCCGGTCGATACCCTCCCTGTAGTCCCTAGCAAGGGCCATCATGTCCTGCTTGCTTGACTTGGCATACCGCCCAATGAGCAGTTCCCAAGCCGCGGCTCGCCAACGGTCCGGTATGCCCTTGTACGTCCGCTCTCGGAGCTTGGACTCCTTGCTCGACTTCACGGACCAGTATTCGACGTTACCGCCCTGGTCACGGAGCACAGGAACCATCATGCGATGCCATTTCTCGATCCGTGGTTGCTCTTTGACCGGCGGTCTCGCTGGAGGGACGGCAGAGAGAGACGTGGCGGATGCGGGAGCAGTGGTCACTGGTACTCCGATTTTGGATAGAGATTTCAGGAGAGGCGCCGTAGGAAGGCTGATAAGTCGATCATGCGAGGGCGTGATAAAGAATCCATATCTACCGGCTGATGTATGAGCGGAAATGGTAGAATATATGCGTTCCCCTCACCTATCGAGGCTCGATAGTAATGCCAGCTCCTGCTCTGTCAGGTCCCGTTTCTTCTCGCTGCCGTCATCGATGGCCGCCTCCGCCCTCAGCTCGCTAGCGCGGTTCCTTCCTATCCTAGCTCGCGTCCTCTCTATGCCTTCGTCGAGGCCGTCTCCCTTTACGCCGGACATGTCCAGCTGGGCGTAAGTACTCCGTACGTGGAATGATTCCTCAGGCTCGTCCTCCGAAGGCTCTATTAACGAATGCGCGCTCTGTGAAGATGTCTGCATTGACATCATGGTGGTATGATGTGTCGAGGCGGTTCGTGGGGTCTGTAGGAGGTGATATGACTGTTGAGACTCCGGACGTGCGGGTGACGGTTTGGCGGATATCGGTGAACCCGGATCGAGATGCGTTGATATTCTAATAGAAGGAGACGCATGGCGGTTTTCCGGTTCTGACGGTACCAAAACATCGAGAGGTGGTCGAATGCGGGGCGTACTCGATCCGGAAGGCGGCAAAGGGATCGCAGACGGGTCGAGGGAGGAGACTCGCGGCGGTGTACGGTTGCGTAGTGAAATGGTGGATGAAGCAGCTTGATTGAGAGCGAAGCGGTCGTGCTCGGAGGAGGCTGTACTAGACGCTCGATGTCCGGAGCTTTCACCGTATGATAGACGAGGTGTAGCTGTCCTTGCGGATTGATAGTCACTCGCCGCAGACTCCTCTGAAGGAGACGGTGACCACGAATCAATCTGAGCAACGGGCACCGCTATGTTCTTGCTGAAGCGACTACTCCGGCTATCTCGGGTGTCTGTCTGGAAGAAGGAGTCCCTGAACGAAGGGCAGCCCGCGTCGGTGACGGAGGCACGTACGCCAGGTGCGGACCCGCCGTACATGGAATAGATGCTGAATATCGTCTCTGACGAGTTCTTCCGTTCCTCTATGATGGGGATGGGCACGGCGGAGACTTCGGGCGTCGGCGGCTGCGTCCACGAGCTGGCGGTCGTCGCGGACGAATCCGTCGTTGGCGATGGCTCCCTGTACTGCGACCCTCGAACTGGAGTGGGGGGGACCACGGTTATGCACGCTTGGTGGTCCATGAGTCCCTAGGAAAGAAAACGAGATAAATCTCGTGGTTGTGGTCCAATTGCAAGGAGCGGAAGGAAAGGAAGGTCAGATATCTTGGAAGGTCTTCAAATGCAAAGTACTGTCTCCGTGGCACATCAGCCGACCGTTCCCCGCTCTTCAAGCGATCACATCACTGACCGCTCTATCCTTCTTGGTCGCTCATTGCGCCATTCAGTACACAGCCCAAGACTCGTACTCGTGCGGCTGCACCCACGCGACAGTAGAGTAGGAATAACCGAAACAAGAACATAGCATCAATGTACGATATGATAGTTTACAGAATGTAAGTGGCGGGGAGGACGATCCAAGGAGAAGGCTGTAGGGCGATGGACCAGAAGAGCGGCGGGGATTGGGATCATTCTAATCGCGGCCTGCGTCGTTCAAGAGTAGCGCCGACCGCATGGTCATTGATTAACCATATCAGCAATTACAGTTCTCATTCGGCGACCCTGCGCCTTGCGCCTGCTTGTTAAGGTCAACGCCAGGACGACCAGGTGCAGCTGCGCCGGCGCGAGCGTTTCGAGTCGGTGGTGCAGTCAACGGCAATTTCTTGGCTGTAAAGTATAGATCAAGATGAAGTTCTTGCTTCGATCCTTGGAATGGCCTACCGATAGCCGTAAATACGTCCGACACACCCTCGCCGGTCTTGGCAGACGCTTCGAACCACAGAAGTCCCTCCTCCTCTGCATATTTCTGCGCCTCCTCCTGGGTCACCTGCCGCCGCGCGGCGAGGTCGATCTTGTTACCGCATAGGGCGATGACTATCGAGGGATCTGCCTGTCGCTGAAGCTCACGGATCCAGGTGCGTGCCTTCTCCAATGAGGCGGTTTGCGTGATATCATAGACAACGACCGCGCAATTGGCATTCCGGTAGTACATGGGGGCAAGAGACTGCGGTTCATGTTGGTAAGCAGGCAGATAAGCCATTATAGCTGGCCTCGCAAACCTTGTATCGTTCCTGGCCGGCGGTGTCCCTGAGGCAAAACATGAGTTGTAGAATCAGGGCGACGAGTGTTCATACCATATTTCGAACTTGACGGTGGCTTGATCGTCCAGGGTGACAGTCTGTGTCAGGAACGCAGCTGTACTCCAGGCTTAAGCGCTGCGGGCGTCTGCGCAGAGTACATGCACTCGCCTCCGATTGTACTTTCCCGGTAGTCGTCGAATTGGTCCTTCACAAATCGCAGGACAAGACTGGTGATGAGTCGTGAGCCTGCCGCCGGATGACGTCGCACACGGAAGCACCGACCTTGATTTGCCCACTGCAGACTCCCCTATCATTGTGAGATGTGAGTACAGTCACAAAGCGGACGACGAGGGCCACAGACCGAGAAGGACGAGCTTGAACTGGAACTGCTTGGACATGGCGGAGGTCGAGGGAAGGAAGGCTGCAGGGGGCGCCGTGCAAGCCTTGTGGTGTGTTCCAACCCAAATACGGCAATCGCCTCTCGCGCACAGTTTTCCCACCTCGCTCTCCTTGCACTCCAACCACCACGACCACGACCTGCGTCCATCTCAGCCTATCCGTGGCTTCTGCAGTGCACTGAGTGAAAGCCGCCGCTCGTTGCGCAAATTCTGGCTTCGATCTGTGTCACCCGACTTGAGCGCTGCTTTCTCGTATCAGACCTGAACCGGCCACGTCACCCTGAGCTATCTGGTCACGAATCGTCCGCAAATCAGCACGTCTCAACTCGAAAAACACTTGTGAAATGCATCGTCACCATCCATATGGCGGTGCGCCGGGCTACGAAAACGCTCCCCGCCGTGGCGGAGGTGGCGGCCCCGGCCCAGACAGAGCGCATCGGTTTGATAGAAGCGCTGGACCCCGCGGAAGAGGCCGTGGTCGCGGCGGCGGCATGTATGGCGGCGGCGGAGGTGCTTACGATTTGGGAGGATACAACGCAGGGCCGTACGATCAAGGTTCCCCTCAAGGCGACACGAATGGCGCACCCAGCTATGAAGCCTACAATTCCGGTGGTCCCTACGATGGAGGAGCGTATCATAATGGATCATTCAATAACCCTCCGCCTCCGTACAGTGGTGATACCTTTGATCAAGGTGGCTCTCAGGAGTATGAAGGTACGCTTGAAATCAGTGAACTGGGACTTCTGAGCAGACGCGCCAAGTCCGAGCCCGCGCGCCCTTTGGGAAGGTTAACGCTTGACGCCCAAGCCGATGTTCACATGGAAGCGCCCAATGAACTGAGTCGATCGCCGCTCATGTTAGCGTGAGGCTATTAGGCTTCTGGGCGAAGAGAATCTGCATCGTCTCAGGCTCGTCGCGTGCTAGAAGTCGCGCCACCAGAGAACATCACATCGCTCTCCGCGTGGATATAATGCGAATCCAGCAAATAAGCGCCCGTGCTCGGATTTAGCGTGCTGCGTGGCACTTGAATTCTTCTCGGCTGTGTAAACATATGATCTTACATCGTGTTGTTCCCCTCAGATGGCGCCGGTTACGGAGGACCCTATGACCAGAGGCGTAGGCGCCCAGAAAGGGATGACAAAGTGCATGATTCTATCATTGAAGAACGTATCCAGCGCGAGCGTCCATGCCGCACACTATTCATTCGCAATATCAAGGCGAGTGCTTTGATGAAGAGACCAAGCGCGACCGGTAGGGATTGACGTGTCTTCGATAGTACGAGACAAATCCCGAGGATGTGCGACGGAAGTTTGAAGAACATGGAGACGTGAAAACATTCTTTGATCTAATAGGGAATCGCGGCATGGTTTTCGTGACTTACGTGAGACCCAGTTCATCTATGTGGCGAGGTACAAGACTTGCTCACGCAATCGGAGTAGTTCGATTTGCGAGCTGCTGAACGAGCTAGAGATCGCCTGCAAGGGTCTGAAATCAGCGGACGACCGGTGAAATACATCGATACACGATCCTTTCGCTGTACTGATCCATGTGGCTCAGATTGACGTTCACTATTCGTTGCCGCGTGATGACGGAAGCAAAAGCGACAGCGCGAAAAACCTGGTAAGGGATCTAAGATGCATACGCACAGATTCTAAAGGCGTTAGGATATAGGAGTTCCAAGGTACAATGATCGTTACTCTCCGTTCTCCGTCAAATGCTCCCATGGACGACAACGAGTTACGGCAACGATTCCAGATGGCTGGCGACATCAAGTCTATCAGACCTGTAGATGGCCGTCCAGAGTACATGAGAAACCCCTCCATCATCCACACTTGCTAATGAACCATGTACAGTGCGCGTTATGTCGAGTTCTTTGATACCAGAGTGCGTTGAGAAATTCGTTCGTTGCTAAGGAGCTCTAACTTCGGTATTGTAGGCTTGTGACGAGGCCTTCGATCGTCTTAACAATCAACCTATGCGAGATGGCGATATCGACGTTACCTACGCGTGGGATCCATCATCAGACTCTACAGAGCCCCGGAAGTACGACCAAGTTCCCTCAGTTGCTGCAGCGTGCTCATTCCTACTTCTCAGAGAACGCGGCTTTGGTCGTGACTATGATGGCGGCGGGAGAGGCAGAAGCAGAGGAGGTCGCGGTCGCGGTCGCGGTCGGGGCGGTCGTGGAGGTGGTGGCGGCCACGACGGAGGCTATGATGAATGGGAACGTCGTGACGAATGGGCACGAGATGGGTATGATAGAGGCCCGCCGCCGAGAAGATACGACGATGATTATGGTCCGGGACGCGGAGGTGGCCCTGGTCGTGGAGGCTACGGCGGTGCACCGTTCAACGATCGAGGCAACGGGTACGGTCCCCCAGTGTCATACGGAGGGCCGGGAGGTCCGGGTTATGGTGACCCTCGAACCGGGCCTCCAAGCGGCTACGGCGTTGGACCTGCCCCTGCTGGTCCGCCTGCTGGGCCATCCGCAGCCCCTTATGGACAAGCGCCCCCGATCTCTCCTGTGAGTGCCGCCTGCTGCGGCTTCGACGGGAGGGCGCTCAACTAAACCCTGCCAGCCCGGTGACGATCGATTAGAACAGGCGAGGAAGGTGCAGCAGGTCGGTCACCGTCTGGGTTCGCAATTGAACCTTGCACTGACTGCGTTATTCCCAGCTGCTGGCGGCGCTGAAGCAACCAGGCGGCGCCGGTCCACCTCCGGCTGGTGCGCCGGGTCCTAGCCCGTATTATCCACCCCCTTCCACCGGTCCCCCGTCTTCCTATCCTCCGCCAAGCGCCTACCCCGGCGCGCCAGGCGGTCCGGGGGCACCGCCGTCAACTGGCAGCCTTCCACCGAATATTATGAATATTTTGCACCAGCAGACTGGTGGACAAGGTCCGCCACCCCCTAGCGGATTAGGCCAGCCACCTCCTACTCTGCCGTCCTACGGCGGGGCTCCCCCGCCGCCAACTGGCTCTGCACCGCTTCCTCCTCACGTTCCAGGGGCACCGCCTGTCCCCGGTGGAGGTCCAGGATATGCGAACCTAATGGCCTATTTGGTGTGTATCACTCACTTGGTCGACCGCGCTGGAGTCACTAATGATTGTCATCCATCAGCAAACACAGGCTGCAGCCGTGAAGCGACTATAAGGATATCTATGCACTCATATCTTGAAATCCCGTCAGCATGAGTTCTGCAACTCATAGCCAACGAACGGATCATGCATCATTCGCGACAAACGTCGGTTATACGTTATGGATGGTATGACCCGATATACGACATCCTCGACACTGGATAGCGGCCGGACGACTATCGGTTCGTAGGATACTCTTACATTCCGGTATGTATCGTCGCGTAGGGCACGGATTGTACAGGGCGATAACGTTATTCGAGTACTAGTTCTATCTATCAAGCATGTGTGTATATTGTGGATGCTAACGATGACCAAAAGCTACGGCATTCGCTGAGGATTGGTGCCGTGGCCGTATTTTGTAGGGCAGTGCATTGTGCTGGATGGTGCACTCACCGAAATTTAGCCATTCTACCCCTCAGATAAACCGATGGACCGGTGGCGAATAGCGTGATTAAGCGAGTTTGCTAAGCGTCCTGGCATGATCGAGATGAAATACAGATGCAGCCTAGATAATGCTCATGTACAAATCACAGTACAAACGTGGGTATGGTGCCCAGCGGATGATGACCGATACCAGCAAGAATTAGGAGTACAAGAAAAGCACAATCAGCGTATCCGGACTCGTTCAGAAACCAGCAGCCTCTAATCCCTTACGGATGTCTGCATGGGCTAGCTCAGCTTCTTGCAGTTCGTGACTTCGAGTCCAGTACCAGGCAGGGTCTCGGGTCTGCGCAGAGGATAGCTGTGTTTGAATGATACTGACGATCGCTGGATCCTCCGAAAATAGATAGGGTCTCCCTTGGAACTTGAGGATTGAATGCACGGCTTCGTACCATTTCTGTCTTTTGACGAAATGGATCAGCTTCCGCGGTTCGGGGGATGGCGTCTGCGGAGAGGACGACGCGGGTAGTTCCACAGTGTCAGGATGCTTGTCATTGATGTGGACGATGTCGGAAAGGTACATGAGCACGAAGGGTATGCATGGGCCTTCGATAGACGCAAGGAGATTCCGGTAAGCACTGAAATTCGCGGTTGGCTCGTTCAATTTTAGCATGGATTCCAACTGCGAGTTGCGGGACACGTGCGCCCAGGTTAGATGTAACCGGGAGATGACAGCACTGGCGAGACCGGCAACTATTGCGCTCATAGACGCGAAATTATTCAAGGCGCGACATTTCTGGGGGGGCAGACGTGGTCAGTGCCGTGTCCGAAGGCTAGCATGGATCACCAACTCACCTCCGCGCACTTGATCCATAGGTCAACCGTGTCCGCGCGTTTGCCTAGTCCCTCGTTGGTCAGTATGCTTGATTTGACCCATCCTGCAAGTTTGTCGTGTGTTGCGCTGAACTGTATAATAGACCCTACGCTCCTGCCCGACTGGGTCTTGGCCCAGAGAAGACACTGATCCGCAGTCACCTTAGAATACAGCTTGTATTCAAGCATGCAGAGGTGTTGAGCAAGCGCGGTAGGGTCCATCCGAAGGAACTCGCCCTTATTGTTCTTTGGCCTCCTCTTCTTCGCCGGGGACATGACTGGTGTGTCCGGCGAGGACGGTGCGAAAGTCTGCAGACCAAAGGATATTTAGAAGCCGGAAGAGTTGAGTACTAAAGATCGCTCACTAGGCGCTCGAAGGACTGCAGCATAAGCCGCGCAGTGACGCCCATCGATGACGGAGAGTTGCCTATCAGTGACAGAAACTCTTGCAATTTCGGGGCTATGTCCGAGTCCAGTTGAAGGAGCCGGTGGTCCTCGAGCCACATGGTTAGTACCGTAAGCGTACGTTCCTGCGTCGGACGGAGATACTTGTCGCGCCACTCCTCGAACTCTTCGTCATTCAATCCAGACGGGTGATCCATTCGGTACCGCTCCACAAGCAGGTCAAACACCTCTTCTGAGCTGGCGAATGTCCTGAAAGTCATCAGGAAAGCGTGTCGGAACTTCTGCTGGGCAGTGAGAGCTAACACAAGATCAGCATGCTGAGATATTCGCAGGCAATTTGAGGCTTACATGGCGATTCAACGGTCAAATGCTCGACGAGAGCGGCTAGCGTACCGGCCTTCACGCTGCCGTCTGGATCCACGCGTATGTCGTCTTCTCCATACATAGGCTGCAGGTACCAAGGTGCCGTCGCTTGAGCCAGCCTGACATTCGCGAAGCGCTGCGCACTATCTTCGCCCGTGATTTGGCGAATCTTATTCGATCTCGGTGACCGGATGCTGATGGTCGGCTCAGGCGACGGTTCTAAGTCTGCCTCGGCGCCAGAGCCAGGGGAAGATATCGAAGATGGCGGACCGCGTATCACTTCATGCAAGTTCAAGGTGGATAGGCGTTGGGCGACGGTCGTCGCGGCGAAGGCGTGGGCACTCGGACGCCGCCGGGGAGCTGATGGTGGGCGAAGCGACCGGTTTGAATCCTTGGCCGTGCTCGACTTACTGCGGCCTAACATTGGATCTCTCGAGGGCGATGTGTAGGAAGAAAATGCAGGGGCTGTGGGAGCGGGAGAAGGCGGAAATGATGATGAGGGATAAGGCATTGTTGCGGTGCCCGTATCAGACGCCGTCGCTCTGTTCAGCTGTGCCGACGGAGCTGCACGAACAGCAGGTGGGGGCTGGGGAATCGGTGTACCGGGTAGCGGAGGTAATGGCTGTTCGCGCGACGGGGAAAGCACTGTTTGGGGTTCTGGGCGCGAGTACTGTGGGTGGGCAAGGGCAGGCTCGCTGCCTCGCCGCGAATATGGCTGCGGGGTATATGTGACGCCTCGATCGGGCGCGAATGCAGCTCGATTGTCATCGTAGGATCGTGCCAAACCAGAGGGCGAGGGCGGCCGTGCTCCCTGGACGCGACGTGAGACGATGTACTGGGAGATAAGACGGCCTACTTACATGGGGAGAGTAAAGCGATGGGGACCAAGCGCCGTCGTCTTCTCGGAAGGAGTCATCTGCGTATAAATGATGGAGGGTCGTCGTCGGGGCGGACTCGTAGAGTCGCTCAGCCTCGAACTCGTACACGCGGAGTTCCTCGCGGACGTCTTGCAGTCTCTCCGCCTGGGCGTCGGTCAACTGCTGGACGAACGCACTCGGAATCCATCCGACTGTGCTCGACTTCGGGCCAATGGCAGCCCACCAGCCGGTGTTCTCTTCTTTGACGATGTCCAAGATCTCGTTCTTGCGGAACGAAAGCTGATCCTGGTCCTGCGCATCGAAGTCGTAGAGGCAGAGGACGCTAAAGAGATGCCACGAGAGGGAATCGTCCGCTCCTGTGTCGGCAGTAGCTACAGAGCTGAGGGTAGAACCGTAGGTGGCATATGTCTGTATTGAAGCACGATCGTAGTTGAGGCTGCTGCCGTCGGTATAAATAGACTCGCGGTCCATCTGGTCTGAGTGAGGGACGAAGTTGGTGTCAGGGATGTCGAGCGAGAGCGTGCGCCTCGCTGATTCAGAGCGCATCGCGAGCGTCGAGAGAAAGGAGAATGTGAGTCTTCCTCGGCCAGCGAACGAAGGGGAGACGACGAAGGGGAGACGATGGCGGGGCGAGATAACAGTTAGCTGCCTCCTGCACCGCCAGCAGCATCACCATCAGCGGCGGAGATCAACGTCCATAATGGAATGATACAGTACACGGGCCCGACGTCGACCGTCCCGCCGGGCTGGACGCCAGACATAGCTTTGCCGAGACGCCACTTCCATTGACCTCCATCGCCAACAGTCCAAGCGACACCGGACAGCATGCTCGTGCTTTCTACCCTGCATAATCTCCTTGAGCAGGTCCTGGACCCACCCGGCCTGCACACCGCCGTACTCCTTACCCCGGAAGGCCAGCTCGTTTCTTTCGCATCACACCCTGCTCGTTCGAAGGATAGAATACGAGTGATCGTCGGGCTCAGCGCTTCGTTATGGCACGAGACCAAGGCGAAGGGCATTGGCATGGTTGAGAGCGAGGTCCTCAGTCACCCCAATCACTCCATCTGACATATGCTGATGCATCTGCAGTATGGCCGTATTCTTGTGCTCCCGTTGGAGAACGAGCAGCACATCGACGCGGATGTTGGCCAGCAGACGGCGGCCGAGCCAGTCATGCTGCTGGCGTTGAACGGGACGGTCAGCGCGAGTTGGGACGAGCTTCGTGAAAAGGTGAGGTCTTCGCCCTCGTGCAAGGAACACGACGATGGAGTCCGGTATTTCACACGTAGGCGCAAGCCCTCGCGAATCATCTGTCGAAACCGATTGGTCAACTACACGGTCGGCTCGTCCACCTTCCGGCACCGACTCCAAGTCAGACGCGCTCACCGAGAAGACAAGTGCAGCGATAACATGCACACACAGTAGATGTTGACGACACGCTTCGAGTTCATCCTTCCAACCCCGTAAGGCAGAGCTGGTTTGTTCGCAAGACTTATCTCGTGAGGATTTGCGACCTCCGCTCACCCTCGAAGTTGATATTACATCTCGGCATTGAACAGTACCTACCACACATGCTCAAGATACTAGCGGACAATTCGAACACGAGGGTGTAGGTTATGGTTATAGCACTGTGGGAGCGATATGAGATGATGAGATCATTGTAAACTGCAATGTCGAAAGTACAGACGAACACTGCAAATGTGACATCCGTTTACCACTCAAACAATGTGACGAGAACGATTGAGACAGGACAAGCATACGTATTTGCATTGTGTACAAGGTGACGAAGTACCATATACGACGCAGCAACATCGAGACAAGTAGAGCACGATCAAAAAAGCTGGCACATTGTGGAGTATGGGAGCACATTCTTTCAGCGCTGCGAGGAACACGGAGTCTGATCACAGGACTTGAGCATCAAAAAGCACACTCAGAAGCCACCAAATGAAATACTTACCTAGATCAGAGTGTCAAAGACACCTTGATCATAACCCCGTGTTCCTAAGTTCCCGAAAGACCGTGTTCCCAGACTGATGAGGTACGCAAATCTTGACACGCTTACAGCGCTTACTATAACGAGGACGTGAATATTGATAATGTTAGTTATCAACAAAAACAAAAGGAGAACTCACGCAGTGGCCAGAGGTGGCCATAGCATATGCAGCAGCCTCCTTCGCTGCCTTCTTGCTAAATCCCTGACGGGCATAATTGTACAGTTGCTCGCCCTCAACTTTTCAGGACAATGAGATGCGGACGAACGACGTAGAAATGCGCATACAGATCGGGGTGGCAGTCCAAACAGGTTGATGGGGTTCGCCCTGCCAGGTGACATCCCATTCTGGTCATTGTCATGCTCAGTCGATTCTCGACGAATGAGCTCATTTGATTGACACGAACCTAGACGTGCCCCGGCCCACTCGTTTAGCTGGGGAAGAAACCCCCATCCGGGAGCTGCAGGTTGGAATGCATGTGTGCCAAGACGATTGATGAAAGCCATAACAATGTAGTAGATGATTCTTTCGAGGAGCAGCCAACAGAGTCGAGAAACCTTGGGTGGCTGATGTTCAACGAAGGCGAGTGGGTTTTTATACAGCGGAGCAGGCAGCTGGAACGACACTATCCTTTGTCAGAGCTGCATCGTCACCCATGAAAGCGGCCAGCTCGAGACTGTAGATATACAGCGTGATGATAGCAGTGATAGCTTGTGCCCTAAGGGTCTGAGCTCCTTCGGGTGAGTTGACGCTGTATCCACTGAGTAGTTTGAACAGCTCGTTCTCAACGTGTCATTGCGCCGGCAAGCTTCCAAAAAGGCCGTGGACCCGAATAGGTGATTTAGATACCCATGATTGGTCGGTGCGCCTGTTGGGAATAGATACTGGATAGCACACGGGGACCATATTGTCCGGCATGTCCGCCGAGGCGTACAGCACAGGATGCGGTGAGTGGTGTTGCTTCATCGTCAGATCCATCGAGGATCCTGACATTAATACAGCGCCGCGACGAAGTGCGGGCACCAGCACGAGGTCTGGAGAATCGGCATTAGGTAGGAGTCATGGGATGGAAAACACTGAACGAGACAAGATAAGGCAGTCGGTGCCCATAGCTTACCACGAATGGTATCGATGCTATCGGAACGATAGTGCTGTGTAGCTTGTTGCCTTCGATCAGTGCTTGCTGTATCACGGATGCAAGGTTCAGTGACGCTTTGAAGCCGCTCCTTGCCCCCGAAACCAAAGGATACGAGTCATCTGGTGATACTCATATTTAACACATGGAGTATGTAGGTTTCGCGAGCTTTACGAACCACGGGATCCGCCACAAGTCTTCAGGAGTCGTCTGCTTGCAAAGGCTCGGACGTCGGCTGTCCTACTCCGTGCCGACGTACGCAAACTGCGATGGCAGCGCGCAGCTGCTGCAAACGCGAGGCTAAGATCCACCCTGGAAGGCCTCCTTGAAAACAGCAGAACATTGTGGGTGGTCGATGTTTGTGTTTGCTCGTCACCAGTCCTGGCACGGAGGGTTGCGGTATCTTGAGTCGTCATTTCACCATGTGTACATATTAGAAATACAAGCTTGCCGCAAATACGACTAACAGGTGCGAGCGTGAGCGTCTGCGGAAACCTGTCGGACAAGCGATAACGTACTATCCCTCTTTATCTTCGTCTGGGCATCTTCCATCTTTTTCATCAGATCTGCGTCGCCAATGATACGCGCGGCATCTCTCACTTCCCTGCATGTCTCATCCAAGCGAGTGATACACCGCACGATCGTTCCTTCCGCAACGTCCGTAAGAGCGGTAATCTGCTCAAATGGCTAGGACGGATTGAATCGAAACTGGTTGGCAAGTATATTCTCCTTGGCTCACCATGCCCTTAGCCCATTCGTAGACAACTTCCATCAGACCAAACTTGAGTGCGCGAAATTCTTCCGCAGCGACTTTGTGCGCATCTTGTACGCGCCCTACACGTGCCTCGATGGCGAGGATCGTATCACGCCCCTCCTCCAATTTCGGCGAAACAGATGGTTCATTGTCCGTTTTTTCTTGGAACACGAAGCAGGATAATAATGCCGCGATCTCTTCCGGTTCGTAGGAAGCCAATGCATTCTCGAGGATAAGCTCAGTGAGCACGAGTTCATTGGCAGAGTTGATCTGTCATGCCCGGACACAGTGAGTCATTCTGGCTCACGCTATCTGACGTGAGGACAGTACGAACCTCGCATGCCACACGTCCCTTGAGTAGAACAGTGGACTGTTCGTCAATAAACTTGAGTTCCTGTAGAACAGCGATCCTCTGCTCGTAGTCAGGAATGAGTTCAAGATTTTGGTCAGAGATGGCTAATTTCAGCTCGGCAATGCTGGCACGTAAGATTTTCTCGCTGTGCATGATGGAGTACTGCCCGAGTGTTATCCAAGGAGAAATATCGATACATCTCAAAGAACTTACGTGTTTCTCGAAGTCAGCACATAACGTACAGGCGCGTCCTGATAATCGCTGTGCAATGACATCTCTTGAACGGAGAAGCTCCTGAAACTCCAAGGACCGCATTTTCACCCATTCAGCTTCTGGGATGCAGCCACCCGTGATCCATTCTTCAACCACGGATGCAAGGCTTACGGCCGCGTCGCGCATGGGAGCTATCTTATGTATCGTTGCAATAGCGTCCGCGTCGACCTTATCCTCATGGCGTGAGATTGCATATTGAGCACAGTTGAGGCCTGTGACACACCTTCAGGATACGATCCGTCACCATTGCGATGCTTGTCACTGGGATCACTGATAGCTCGTATTGGCCATCCTGCACCAAGAGCGATTCTGGCTGGAAGTCCCAGCGAGGTGCAACCATCTGGGAGTCTATGTCTGAAGGAGTAGATGAACAACGAGCGACATCTTCACGGCAAAGACCGACCATTTTCACGGCGTTTGGTTTCTGGGTTCACAAGGGCCAATACGAAGTACATCTTGGTTTGATTGATGGTGCCGAGTTCGGTGGCTTGTGGAGGTGCTGGCTTCAATAGCACACCCACATTGCACCGAAAATGCTAGGATGCTCCTGTCAGTATGACATAATCAAGAGACGAAAGTGATATATACGCCGTCGCGAAGGACAACCACGCGACCTGCGGCCAGTGTTCTGATCCCTTGAGGGTGGTGGCTTGCAAGAGAGAGTAGTTGCTGATTTAGATAGACGATCTCCCGCGAACTATCGTAGTATAGTTCGATATCCGCAGAACAAATGTCGCACTCCAACTTCGGAAGCGTCGCTAGATATCTCTCGCCCTAAACGTTATCAGAGTCATAATCGGAGATGCATGCCAGCGGTCCCTACCTCGATGACCTTCCTCTGCTGATCTGGTAACAGTCGCTGCGATGCATTCTCCGAGAAGCTCCGCTTGATCATCTCTTCCACTTTCAGTGCTTCGACCCGAAGCAAGTTCAAGATCATATTGTAGGTTAGGCGGAACTGCGACTGCAGCTTAGATGGTTGTCCCAGCATCATGTGATGCAGAATTCCTTGCTAACGCTAGACGATGAACTATGAGTACAGCCGTGGCTTACGAGCTTACCTCTGGCAAATCATCATTGGCATTGACGATGACGGTTCCTGTAGCGTCCAACCCTCTTCTCCCCGCGCGTCCCGCCATTTGAGTATATTCACCAGGTAAAATCTCTCTGAAGCTGCGGCCGTCATGTTTTCTGATGCCGGAAAACACAACACATCGGGCAGGCATGTTCACACCCTGACTAACTATTAGCAGATGTAGCCATCTGCGGAAGGGGCCTTACCATGGCAAACGTCTCGGTCGCAAACAAGATCTTGACGAGTCCTCGGGCGAAAAGGAGTTCCACAACCTAAACATAACAATGAATCGTCCAGTCACTGTAAGAAAAAGGCGTGACTTATTTCTTTAACGATAGGCAAGAGACCTCCGTGGTGCACGCCAATTCCTCGCGACAGAAGATCGCGCATTCTCGCTATTTGAGGGAGCTTACGATCGGACCCTGTCGTGTTTCAACACACAGAAGTATCGATGGACAATCTCCACACCTTTCAATCTTGATAAAGCTTTTTCGATGGCTATGTGCACCTCACTCTTCTCAACCGCCGTACAGAGGTCGGCATTGGTCAGCGTTGCCGCGTTCTCTTCGCATCTCTTCTTGGAGAAAGTGAACACGACAACAGGCAGGAGACCTTTCTTCTTCAGGTGGCCAAGAAGGTGCACGTATAAGCTTTTGTCGGCCTGGTGAAAGGTCCGAGAAGGTGGCCCGCCTCGACTTGGCGCAGTTCCTCTACCTCTGGCAGGGGCACCTCGTTGAGCATTGGCCCCCCCACGCTGTCCGCCACGAGATGGCGCCCCGCGGCCTCCGGTCCGTTGAACTGGACCTAATCCAGCCGCTTCGCGTTCCTTGTCCTGTTTCCGCCTAAGAGCTTCGGCTGCGTCCTTGTACCTGATAGTGTACGCTCAACACAGAGTAAATAATGCATCGGGGGTTGCGTACCCTTGCGCTAAGAAATTCCGCTTGGCGTCAAGAACCTTGTGCATCTCGCGCCCTGAATAGAGATAATGTTCTAGAGGAACCGGCCTCTGAGCAGTGGATATAACGTATATGTCTTTCCTTTTTGTTCGCCTTATGCAACTTTATTCGGGTGTCGTTGCGGGAAAATCCTTATGTCACTCACCCGACCCAGTCCGCAAACTCCTTCGTGTTTGGAACTGTTGCAGAAAGGAGGATTATGTTGACATGGTCTGGCAACATGATAATCACTTCTTCCCAGACCACGCCCCGCTAGTGCAAGTGTCAATGAGTTTCCCAATGCAGATACGGAGTTACTCACTTCCGCATCGTTCACATAGTGTACTTCATCAAATATGACGAATTCTACGTCACGGATGAGGTCCGCGCCCTTGTAGAGCATACTGCGTAAGATTTCTGTGGTCATGACAAGACAATTTCCCTCGGGGTTGATCTGAACATCGCCGGTGAGGATTCCAACAGATTGTGAGGAGAAAGTCTGTTTAAAATCTCGAAACTTCTGATTTGACAGCGCCTTGATAGGAGAGGTGTATATGGCCCTGTATTGAACGATGAGAATGGCACTCTGAAGCAGATCAAGGGGCTGAAAGTGCCTGGTCATATGCTTCTGCGCAAGAGCAATCGCGTACTCCGCCACCACTGTCTTGCCCGCAGACGTATGCGCAGCAACGAAAACCGAGTCCCCCATTTCCAGATGATACACGGCTTGCTTCTGAAAGGTGTCCAATTCGAAAGGATACTACGAGGTAGAAACCATGATTGAGTCAAATTCGTCATCGTTGGATTGAATATACGCGGACCTGATGCGCCATTTCAGGGACGAGATCGCGGAAATTATGCATCGGTTTATTGATGTCAACTTCATGAGCCCAGTCTCTTTTTCGCACGTTCGCACGTCGTCCTTGACGGAGGGCGGCAGGCGGAACGAGAGGCGTGACCTGACCAAGTATGAGTGCCATCTTTAGGAAGAAAGTCAGCATTTGCTTACAGTTGTGGGCAGCAGGTCATCTATTTCTGAGGTTCCTTGGGTGGTAAGGTCATTTCTATCTATTGTCGGCACATGCCCGTTCATCTGCAATGACAATCAGCATGAACCAGGTGTATCTGAGCGGCTACAAACCAGGAGATCTCCGGAAACAGTCGCTCGGTGCCCTTGCCGCTCAGCCTCTTCGACGATCGACATTGTCTCATCATCCTCCACTTCCTCCCCAGGCAGACGCAAGCCTCTGGACAACCCTGGTGGCACTGCCCTGACGCCCCTCAGATTGCCAGCCGATGGCTGACTAGAGTCTTTCAGCACATCATCGAAACCGCCAGGCCAGAAAGGCACGTATCCCGACTTCCCGCGCACGAAGTTTGTAGAAGGCGCCGGAGCGCGGTCCAAGGAGGTCGACGTAGTACCTGTGGCTAATCGGGAGTTGGGCGTCTGGTGTGAGGATGGAAATCAGCAGGTGAAATGCATCAGATCACCAAGGACTTGCTTCGACATATCCTGTAACACGGCCATCGAGGCCTGTCCGGACAAAAGACAAGCTGGTAGGAGGTGCAGACGGCTCAAGGGTCAAGAGATCGGGAATCGATGTCGTATGTTGCCAATGACTATATGTAGCGTAAGTTGAGACGAGCGCCCGCAACCTACGACTAAGCGCACACTTGGTATGTCGAGAGCCAGTGGTCAGGAAGCCGAGGTTTGGGTAGCAGTAGCTTGTCTTCAATTTCTCGATGGACATGCTCGCGCGACGGCACGCCAGCGAAGCCTAGATCAGAAAGTAGACGATCGGCATACTGAGGATCAGGATGTAGGATTTGTTCGATGAGCTCCTCGTTTGCCATGGAGGGTGCTGCTGAACAATGTCCCGCTTGAACCGGGCAGTAGATGTGATTACCACACGAGGATCACATCACATCGCGCCACCAGCTACTTCCGTCCCCCCTCCGCCCATGCCTCCCTGGAACGCGACCAAAGCAAAGGTTGGTGCGTATTCCATGATGTTGGCTAGGGTTTCTTCCGCTCATTCTGTTCGATCAGGTTCAACTACGGTCAGACGCCCGATCTACCCTAAGTATATGCTGTTGATGCGATTGGTGCATGACCAGGTTGGCCGTGCAGCGGCTGCGTACGCTGCAGGAGAAGAAAGAAGCGCAAGCCAAGTCGGCACGCCGCGACATTGCTACTCTGCTGGAGAAGGCCAAGGTGGAGACAGCAAGGATAAAGGTCGAAAACAGTACGACCGACTTGCGATGGATACACTGTTACCCAGCTCATGGCATAATCTATGTAATCTAGTCATCAACGAAGACATCTACCTGGAACTCTTGGAGCTACTTGAGCTGTATTCAGAATTGTTGATCGCAAGATTCGGTCTCTTGGACAACAAGTATGTGGCAGGTCCCTCTTGCGATGCGAACTTGTGTGGTTGAACGCGTCAGTGCTCGGGAGCCCGATCCAGGTGTCAGTGAAGCAATCAATGCAGTGATTTATGCTGCTCCTCGAACTGAACTCAAAGGTGCGTGATCTGTGCGCTGTCATCGCCCTAGTCGAAGTGAAACCTTATGGGTCAGAGTTGCACGTTCTTCGAGACCTGCTCATGCATAAGTTTGGACGTGAATACTCCAGCGCGGTAATGGAGAATCGGGATAATTGTGTCTCTGATAGAGTGCGTACCACACAAGAATGTTCTCCTGTGACGTTCCAGCAGCCAGTGGTTGATCCAGACCGACCCATACAGATAGCCCGCAAACTCAGGGTTGAACCCCCTTCCAGTGAACTAGTCGATGCATACTTGGCCGAAATAGCCAAAGCTTATGGCGTCGACTGGGCACCGTCGGCAGGGAACGACGATATCGGTGACGGCGGTCTCAAGGTTAGTTCCGACTTTACTACGGGCAGATGGTAAACCGGCTGACGATACCTGGGGTCCTCCAAGGAAGCTCCGCAAGCCGTACAGCCGCCTGATTCTTCCGGAAAAGAGAAGGCTCTCGTCGTGGCCGATATAGCGGTCAAGCCCGTTAAGGGACCGACGCCTGAGCCAACGTTGCCAGACGTTCCGCCGACGGAGGAGGAAGTGCGCAAGCCAGAAGCGCCAGCAGGCAAGAGTGATAATGCTCGGACTCCGGCTGCACCGCCGACGGTCGATGAATTCGAAGCTCTAAGGAGGCGATTCGAGGCGCTGAAGAAGCGTTGAGAATCATAGCTGGTCCATGAATGCAAGACTGCTGCATATGGACTATCAGATAGGGAACGTGATCCGAATCGTACGTGTCTAATTATGTCTGTGTATATTACGGATGTCGTTTTGTACCGAAACTTACAGGACAGCACTACGCGGTGCGCCCATCTTACATACATTCGGATTTTGAGGGTCACAACCGCAACAAGGTTATCGCGGTACATCTTGAGGGACCGATGCATATGCCAAATTCTCTGACGTCCTTTGAGAATGAGGCGGATCGTTGCGCAACGTGACAGTCCCAAGCAGTTTTGATTAGATTCGGTGCTCCTGCAAATCTTTTGCCGTGCTTGAAAATTGAAATGCGTCCTTGAGCGGCCTAGAATAAAGGTTTGTACTCCTGATCGGTCTCCGCCGATGCAAACGTGTTCGATATTCATGTTACGGTATTGGAGCCCGAGCCAGTATTCGGAACTTCCCCAGGAAGCTCGTGGATAATAACCTCTAATATGTGCTCTTTCACGGAGGCTCGGAGGAGATCGTCTCTGTCTGCGATCAGTCCCTCGCGAATGCGATAAGTACGCGAACAGCTTCTAGTAGCAACAGAAAGATCTGGCGCGGGACGGTTTCGTAGGATCGTCGATCACGACAGCGCAGCTCGCTGTGGTAATATCATGCATAGCTACCATTTGTCCCGTTCAAGGGACCGTACGCTACCGTACGCCAGGACAAGAGCCGGCAGATGCAACTCGAGGTGCAGATCGCCACGGGCCAAGGAGATCTGAATGCTGTGCCGGGCCGTCGTGGCTGCTTTTGTTCCTTTAACCACCCGATGGCGGGCGGCACGTTGCGCGGAAGATATATATATGCCTGGCATAGGCGGCGGAGGAGAAAGCCAGCAAGTCCGTGGACGCGTGTTTGCCGTGGACGTGTGATGACCCCGGCCTTGTCGTGGCAAACTCACGCCATTGGCAGGTTTCCTTCCTCGGAAACACCCTTCTCCTCCGAACCATGCCTATAACTTTCCGTCGGCGAGAACGCGCTGACCCATCATCCTCCGTCTCGCGCAAGCCATGGCCTGCAGCACTCAGTATCACCCCCCGATAACCCCTTTGTTTCCAGCTCATGGCTGCGATGGCTCCAGCGAGGACGCCAGCACTCATCTCCGCGAAGATGATTCCATGTCCTGTGTCTCACGATTCGAGGGCAGCGACGCCAGCTCAGCGACATCATTGGGCAGCCGGTCGGGCCGCTCTTCCCCAGCGCCATCGGTCATGTCCATCACCAGTACAGACCTCGCACAGGCATTCAAGCAACAGCATGGACGCGTCCTGAACGCAATCTCGGAGGTTTACAGCTTGCCCGCTGACGAGCAGGAGTTTGAACGATTGGGTGAGTGTCACAAGATCTACATCCGCGCCATAGGTGGCGCTCACCGCCATACAGACCGGCAGCATCGTATGTTCATCGAGATCATGGGCAGATATCCTCCGCCCTTGCCTTCAATACTGGCGCACGAGGAATTTGGACCCACGAAGTCTGCGTTGGATGTGGGTTGTGGCAACGGATCTTGGTGTGTTCCACACAAACGTGCTTCATAGATGTTCTCTGAGGTTCGTCCCGCTACTCTAGGGCAATACAAGTGGCCAGCGACTTTCCATTGTGCAACGTAGTGGCGCTGGATCTGATCCCCATGCAAGCTGAGTGAGTATGTGCAAAGGCGCATACCTGTACCTCTATGCTGACGGCGTGATACTTTCATTAGGAGAATGCCGCCGAACCTCAGGTACATCATCACGGCTCCGCTGTGGTAATCTACTACTCGACATGACTTGCTTATAATATTCACAGGAGCGAAGTCGACGATGTTAATTTGGACATGGGACATTATTATGGAGAGTTTGATGTTGTGCATGCGAGGTTGGTTGGGACTGGGGTATGTATCTCTGTGTTCGATGTCCTGTTTCTCTGACAACAGGCGTCATGTCAGATTCGAAACTATCCCGAATTTATTGATCAATGCTCGCTCATGCTCCGCCCCGGTGGCTTAATTGACCTCCTGGAGATTGATTACCTCGTGTATGTATCTGACCGGCAGCAGCAGGTGACAACGGTTCCTGACCGGACTATGTTTAGGTATGGCCTCGACCAAAAACCGATATTAGCACCTGGATGGAATACGATTGAAGCTCCTTACTTGCCACGTTGGAGCCACTATCTGGAAAACGCTATCCGAGCCAGAGGCGGGACGGCGCCCGCTTCCCATTTACTCGAAGGCTTGATCTACAATCATCCGAAGTTCATGGATATGACCTACCACTGCTACTGGGTTCCAATCGCTCCATGGCACTATCGCATAGCAGGTCTCAATCTTTCCGACTCGGAAGTACAGCGGCAGATGCGTATCGCAACCATGATGCGCGATGACATGCTGGTTAGTCACAGGTCATCTCCATCTTCTGCCTGCGCACGTTTAACACGTTTTGCAGGAGCTTCTTCAGTCCGCTCGTCCTTTACTGCTGAATAGCGGGTTAGAGCCTGAGCTAGTCTCTGAGCTCGAAGAAGGATCTCGGCGCGAGCTTACAGAAGCACTCTATCCAGCGTATTTCTGCATCCGGACTGTTCACGCGCGGCGTGCACCATGATGACTCTACTTGCGAATATTGCTTTCCTTTTCATATCAGCCTCAATCTTGCTTTTATTCTTGCTTTCGACTAACGCATTCATCCTGCACACACGTACTCTAGAATACCAAATTTTCTCGCCTTTCGAGACATCCGTTAAGCAATCCACCAACTGTATAAGTGTATCACTCCTGTATTCTATAATGAGCTAGGCTCAAGAGTTTGTTTGTTCTGCAGGGCACCTGAGAAATGGGATCAGCTGTAAGTGCAATGCTTATTTATGCATCAGTATGAATTCAATAAGGCGTTCCATCGGTATTGGGTGGTGGTGATGGATTACGGGCATACTTATGTCCCTCAACAGGAACGGCCCATATACACCGCCATCTAAGACTCACATGGTAGCCACGTGTGCACTGCGTCGGGAATCGCTGTCGCGTTCACCTGTGTACATGGTGGTGACCACTTCGCGTACATGTTTGCCCACCAATCCCCACAGGTGTTTAACATACAAGCTGGTGTACAGTAGAACCACCATATGGAATATAGATGTAGCCAGACCAACGACATGTGGTGCTTGCACCGTAAACCGTGGTCGCTGTCATATCATGGCGCTGCACACTCGTGCCGAATCAACGTTCAGGTTGCATTTGGTGATGTGATTGGCATATACATATCGACTGTTACAGCGTATTCTAGTCCTTACACAGCATCACCAGGTAATTCCTCGTCAACACCTTGCTGGAACTCATCCGGGACTTCATTGATTGCTCGGTTCGGCTCGGAGCCATGAGCCTTCTGATCGTCTTGCACAATGGCTTTGAGCGCCCTGGAAAATGTATTATCAGAATCTGTCCTTTAGGCACCCAAGGCAGTGAAGCTCACCGCTGAAGACGCTTCGCATCACCCTTCGCATTGGTCCGAAGCCACTCCAAGCGCTTGTCGACACGGTCCCAGTACTGCCGAGATTCACCACCCTCCAGGTAAACAGCACGCTGTGATCTCAGGATCAATGAACATCTAACGGACCAACACTGTAAGCACTTACCATCACTGCAACCCGGCTGGAGAAGGCGGCCGTGACCGAGAGATCGTCACCAAGGATGGTCTTGGTGAGGTTGTAAAGTGTCTGCTGCTGGGCAGGTGGTCGTTCAACCAGTCTTTTTGCTCCGTTGTTATCGACCTCGGAAACCATGACACTAGCAACGATCTAATCGATCATAAATTAGATTGGTGAAAGGATGACTGTTCACGCATACATACCGCTTTCTTGATTGCAGCGCGAAGCTGCGTTAGATGATACGTAATCCGATCAAGGACCTTTGCCCACGCTGCCGCATTCTTCTCAATCCTTGGTGGTAAACCAAATCGGTGACGCTTGATCATATCCTATTCTGATATGAGATGCACGTGGTATGTTTAGGAACTGAAGCGTACCTCAACATGCCGTGATGGCACGGCACCTTTGAAACTCAAAATCTTCGCCGATGCGAAGACACACAGTGCGTACTTCTCGATGTTTTTCTGCATATACATATCCACGTCCATTGTCAGCATGAGTCATTCTCCTCTATCGGTACTCACATCCGTGTCAGCTGGTACTTCAAACGGTGGTTGACTAATAACCATCCGTTCTTGTTCATTGCCGACTTCCATAATCCAAACCAGCAGTTCAATGTCGCGTTGTAGGCTAACCATCTAAAAATAGAGGTGGTCAGTGTTCTATCATGCAGAAAGTGGACAGTAGGTACACGACTGAAAGATACGACACGGTCTGCTTGCTCTGGTGTCAGCCTGGAGCTCTGGGCAAGCTTTCTCGCCCATTGCTCCATATTCGCATTCCCTACTGCAGATGCGAAGTCCAGTGTGCCAACCTCCGGGTCATTTTCAGAGTCTTCAACATTATCGTCGGATCTGCGGGTAGAAAGAGCAGGCCGGCTGCGTTTCCGTGGCGGTGGCGTATCGGGCTCCAGGGGTGAGCTTGGCGTGTCCATCGCTTCCAGTGCCCGTTGCTTTGCTGCGTCAGCGGCATTCTTGGGGGTTGTTTCAACTGTCATCGGAGAGGATGATGAGGGGAGACAACAAGAGCAGACAAAAAAAATTGCGCCCACCGAACAAGCAACGTGACTGTCAAGATCAAGACGGAGCTAAGTCCGACGCCGGAGGTGTGACGTCCGGACCTAGCGAGATGATTGTCGGAGTCGGGTCGGAAGAAAGTCGGAGTGAGTCGGAGAATGTCGGAGCAGAGTTTCGGGATACAGAGAGTGAGTGCGAGTACGGACCAGACTCAAGCTTTAAGACTTGAGTCGCTACGCGCTCTAAGTCCGTGTCGGAGCAGAGGAGTAACTTAGTCGATATTCGAACTAAGGAGTTAGAGTACAGGAGCTAGGAGTTTATATACGCGGAGGCACGGTTCGGAGCTCGTATCGATAGGGAGTTATCGGAACTATGAACCATGTGGAATAAGGAGTTATCGGAACTATGAACCATGTGGAACTGTCAATCGTAAGGACGGAGCATATGGTTACGAAGCTGATAATCGGAGGTAGAATAAGTCCGAAGGGAATATCAAACCGTTAAAGGCATATCGATCGTGAACGTCGGAGTTGAATCCGTTATGACTCGAGAACTACCGGGACGTTGAGTCGCCGGAGGACTATTCATGTGATAACGTAGGTCCGGTGCCG